CCACACACTGGGTGGCTTGAAGCAACAGAAATTGTTTCCATCACAGGGTTGGTTCCTCCCAGAGAATCTGAGGGAACATTGGTCCCACAAATCTCTCCTAGTGCCTGGCCGTTGCTGGCAACCCTCACCTTCTCCTGGCATTGCTCCAATGTGGGCCTCATCTTCATGGGACAGTCTTATCTCTGTGCCGTCTTAACTAATCACATCTTACGAAGACCCTATTTCCAAATATGATCACATTTTGAGGTTCTAGGTAGGCTTGGATTCCGAGGGACACTATTCAACTCGTTACACGGAGTCAACACACTCTGAGAGTTGAGGGAGCTGTATGATAGCTGTCTGTCAATATGCATCAATTTAATATTTATTAATTGAAGGCCACTCCACTAGGAGAGGGAGAGAGAGGTTAAGGAGATAGGTGTAATTCCCGACCACAAGGCTAAGTTGGAAGGGTGGAAAACGGAAACATTTAGGAGTTCACTGCACTTTATATTTTACTTTGGTTTTGGGTTTACGTTTAAAATGTAGTTCCCATTGCTGTGAAATAGAGATGAGGTGTTCATTGAAGGTGAAATTCAGAACTCAGGGAGAAAGAGTACTGATGTATAAGCATGGCCCATCATTTCATGACATATACTTTGCCCTAGATTTTCTCTGATCCTTGAGTAATTGAGATGATTTCAAGGTGTGTTGCTCTCAACATGACCCCAGAAAGAGAGCATTTAAGACTCTGTGTCCATGGGGCACCAGTTTTGGACCCTCTCTTTTCAGGAGGGATCTCTCCCCCCGCCCCTTACACGTCTCTCTCTCTCATCTTTTGAATAAAACGTTTTGCTCTTGGGGGGAAAAAAAAGTCTATGTGTCCAAACCATACACAGTAGGTTAGGAATCAAGGTATTACACAGAGAACTTCAAATACAATCTTTTCTGCTTGATCTGTTCAGTTTTGTTTTGTAGATACGACTTCCCAGCTGAGGCTTCAGTAGTGCTTACTGCAGGACGGAGCACTACTTGCTCTTCGCCTGGGCACGTCTTATTTATATATTCTGCATAGTCGACTCCTTCAGTGGTCACATGTCAGTCATGGATGACTGGCAAGAATGAGTTTCAAATCCCTAAAGTGAGTTCCAACTATGACAGAGGTTCTTTCCTGGAGTGGGCATTCCTTCCAACTCAAAGGCACTTTCAAACTTGATTGCAAGGAACAGTCTGGTCAAGACTAGGAAGGCTTTTCTCTCGGCCATTCTGATGTCACCAGTAGGTGGACAGCCCCCATGCAGAATGCTGATGAGCTGATTTTACAGAAATCAGCTTTAAAATCATCTCACAGAGTACCCTTTAACCAACCCTCCCTCTGCGGAGCCCAGCTTTTCATGGCCTGAGAATAAAATTCTGGAAAGAGAAATTGTCTTTCTGGCTTTATCTTCATCTAAGACCCCTGCTTTAGACTCAAATTTCTGAACTGTAATCAAAGTCTGGAAATTAATAGCTTTCTTTATCTATACCTGTCTGTCATCTTTAATTTGAGCTTACTTTGCTTGCTATAAACCCAGCAGTGTGGGGAAGTCTTTCTGAAATGAAAAATTTTTCTACTTTTATCTATCTTTATGTAATTTACATATCTTTATTAGGACTTTTCACTAAATTTTATTCCAGAATTCAGAGCTGCTGGTACCTTCCAAAGAGAGTCAAAATCGTATTCTAAATTTTGCATCCTTTACTCAAGAAATGAGGTGTCACTCCCCAAAACTCTAGTTGCTTGACCAAGTCACCACTCGGAGAGGGAAATCTCTTTCTCTATGTCTTCAAATAACTCCATGGAAGATGCGCTGTAGTGCTCATTTTTAATGTGATTTTTGTTACTGACACCAAAACATGTCTATTTCTGCTCTAAAATGAATTTAATAACATATTCCTGGGACACTTGAAGTTTTTCATGTGCATACAGAATTTTTCACATGTAATTCAGACTTCCTAATAAAATGTTTTCTTTTCACTCTTCTCATTAATGAACAGTGGAGTGCCATAGGGACTTCTTTTGTACACATTTCCACAAAATCTCTGTTCCAGAGTAGTTTGAGTCTAAACTCCCTTGCTTGGAAAAGATCTGGGAGTGTTTCAGATCCAGGTCGGTGAGCAGGACATCAACTAGGAGCTCAACTGGATGGCATTTTCTGTTTTACTGAGCTGACTCTTTAAGTTAACTGTAAAGGCTTTTTATGGTGGGTGTGTGCGTGTGTGTGTGTGTGTGTGTGTGTGTTGATTTGGTTTCTTGGTTTTCATTTGGTTCTGTTGGCCACCACCTCAGTAGGTCCTTGAGCTCATGCAGGATAGAAATCAAACGTGACTCACAAAGAGAGGGATAGGGTCGTTTATTGTAATTGATTCACATGGAAAGCTGGCTTCCCCAGAGACAGAATGGCAAGGACAGAGACTGTCCCATTGTCCCACAGGTAGAGTAGCGACAAAATCAAGGGGTCAACAGTATATACATGGTTTTGAGGACCAGAAATTAACATACTCCTAAGCTGCGTTGCCATCTTTGTGTGCCAATTCCATGTGATCACAATGTGCTTAAAAATGTGTGATTTCCCCCTGCACCTAGTACCTTTTAGCCTATAAATGCATTTAAATGAGAGTCTCAGTTACTTTCAAGCACGCAGCTGTGGTCAGATCCCCTGTTTGTCTTGAACAGTGGATGTGGCTGGAAATGGCATCCTGCCACTTATCTTAAACATAGAACCTGCTGTCCTTTCTACAGTCACCAACCAGACTATAATCATGCTATATGCTACCTCATTTCTACCCAACAGCTCCGTCCTCAGTTATAAACCTAAATTGGAATTGAACTCGTCACAGGACTCAATTATAGAGCAATCTCGATTTAGTAAAAAGAAGCCCCTGGCTTATACCTAACGTAGATCAGGGAGTTATTTCCACAGTGGCAGGTGGCCTTCTCCAGTGAGCCTGAGAGCAGCGGGAGGTGGCCCCATCAGGCCCCATCAGGCTGGGACCCAGGGAATCTGGGCCAGAGCTCCTACTTTCCATTCCCAGCAGCACCTGCTCTTGGAAGGACAGGACTGGAATGAATTTCCTAGTCCCCCTCCCTGGGCTTCATGAAAAAGCGCAGCCTAAACAAAACACATGTTTACAACCCTTCTGTGCCAGAGCAGATGGTGGCCCAGCGCATCAGCACTGCTCGGATAATCCTCACTCCCTGGTGTAACTATTGATGTGACAGGCACAGGTGTTCTGTCTGGGAAGACAAGAAATATATTAGGAAGTGCTCCTCAGGCCGTTTGCAGTTAAATTGCAGTAAAGACGCAATCTGGACTCTCAGCCCGTGTTTTTCTCTGCTTGCCCTCCTGGAAATGGCTTTACTGAGAGAGTTTTAGCTTTTGTTTGTTTATTTGGTTGAATAGTCTCTGGAAAGAACACACACAACCCTACTGAGCTTGGGCCTCTTGTTTCATTCCCCTCATTCACGACTACTTCTCTACTAAAACTAAACTAAGGTGACGGTAACGGCTCCATGTTCAAAGACGCTGGGCAGCCCCGCTTGGCTTTGGAGAGCCGCTCTGGTCTTGATGGTGCAGTCACAGATCCTCATATCATGGCCTCTAGGAAAGGGAAACGTGAATTGCACAACTCTTAAGAAATTTGGAGCACGGATATTTCAGGATTAAAATGATGAATTCCTCTGTCCTTAAAACTAAAGAAAGAAAATGTTTAATAGAGAATGTTTAGCATTTCCCAAATTTTCTGGGGAGGAAGAGGGAGTTTCTTCACATAGCTACAGCAACTTTAAATGGTCCATTTTAAAATGGGTGAACCCACTAGCTTGTAAGAATGTGGTTCCTTCTGGATGATTTCTTGGAGGAAGTAGCATGATTGGGGATGAGGATGACAATGAGTGGCATATGCCTTAGGGATGACACTCAGCTTAGATGTCCCCTTCCCAAGATCCCAATCCTCAAAGCCTTGCTACTTTCTAAAACCAAGGTAGTTTGTGAGAATTTTCCTGGTTTGTACAGAGAGAGCACAGGTGAGCACCTGACTCTGATAATGTTTTCAAGGGCACAGTGATACTGCCTTCCAGACTAAAGGACAGTGGGCTCCTGCTCTCTAAGAGGACACTACAAGGAATATTGGTTCCATGTAGTAACCACTTAACAAGTGGCTCTAGAATTGTATTTCTATAATCTAACCCTGCTCAGAACGACATCTCTAACACCAAAATGTTAGCTACCATCCTAGTTGTTGTTATTTTAAAATTTGTCTGCAGTATTAGAAAATCTTATTATTTGTGCTTAAATTAACAAAGACTTAGGCAGGGAAACATTAAGCCAATGCCTCTGTCATTCTGTAAAATGTTCATGAATCAGACCCCTAACTCCATGTTCTATGCTTGCAGGGACGGCATGGTTGAGGACCACCGTGGCTACTCTGGGTCGACTAGGGATAACCATGGCCTTTGAAATAGTTTATTTGGTGAATTCAGAATTGTACCCAACAACATTACGGTAATTCCAACACATATGTCCTATTTCTCCTAATTAACTGCAGCCAAATGTTCCTTTAGCCTGCTGCTGTGTTGGCTGGGATGAGCTCATCCAGCAAAGAGATAAGCTTTGAGTTCCATCTGCTTTCTGTATTGCTACCTGCCACCTGTGTGATAGACCTGTTCACCATTAAAATGACCTTATCCACAGCTATGGCTCTGTGAACAAGACACAGCTTGGACACAGCTTGGAACTGGAACCGCTTGGTGCCCTTTCTTTGAAGGCGGGCTCAGCCTGCCCTTGCGGCACCGCCCTGTGCCGAGGCTGTGGTGTCTCCTCTGAGCTCAGTGCAAGCCTTGCTCCTGTGAGCAGCTGGTTATTGAAGGACATCCAATGGTGCACATGGTGTAGGGCAAACCGGCCTCCTTGGCTGGAGAAATATCCCAATGGGCACATCTTGCAGTCAAGCAAGGGTACCAAGGTGGCACGTGTGTCACGGAGCAGGCCAGCTAGTGAGCTGCTGATGAATGAAGGTCAGTCCACCAACACTGCAGCTTCCTCACGACCCTCGCTGGGAAGCAGTCAGCAAGGAAAGGGCTGGAGTACAAGAGAATAGTTGTTTTCAGAGTTAAAAATGGTAGAAATGGAAAGTGTGGCCACGATTTCTCTGCTATTTAATATGTCTGAATATTATAATTATCTTGATTTTTTTTTAATTTGAATGCTTTTCACTTAAAACCATTTTTCATTCTGCAGAAACTTTGGGGTTTCGCTCTGTTCGGGTTTGTGTGATTTTGGGGGAATCATAGCCCCGTTTCTGCTCTTTCGACTGGCAGCCGTGTGGCTAGAGCTACCTCTGATCATCTTTGGTAAGGACTCTGTTACGTGGTGCCCTAAAGGGCTTCCTCCGTCTGTGTTCTTTGTATTAACAGAAGCTGCAGTGACCACGAGGTTTGATGTTGATGACATCTGGTAATAATAATGTAATAGTAAAATGTGAAATCCTAAATGGTTTTAATTTACTTTATATTGAAGAGTGGAGGTAAATGGAGATCCTGTTAGCCTTCTTCTTTAGTTCTGAGTTAAAATTAAATACTGCAAAACTCTTTTATGATTTATGACTTAAAAATCAGCCTGAAGATTAATTGTGTGTTTTTAAATGTTTGACATCTGTCAATATCAGATCTTATTTGGCTATGATCTAAAAAGGCTATTCTGAAAGAACAGGGCCCACAGACCACCTCCACATACACTGTAACCTCCTCCACGTCCCTCAAGTTCACGCCTCCTTCCCAGTCCTCATGGATGGTGTGCAGCCACCCAGCCCTGTCTGGGGAGGGACCTCAGGCCTCGGGCAGGGTTTCTCCAGGGCTGTTCCATCTGTCCTGCCTGGAATCTCACACCTCTCTCTGTGCTCTGCAGCAGTCAGGACACAGGATGGCCTTTCTTACCCTGCCCTTCCTCCGTCTCCACTTCCGTACTCTAGGGAGGGAATGTTGCTTATTTGTTGCTCAACAGTTGAAATCCCAATACAGATACTGAGTTCCTGAGACAATCATTCTATTCGTGCAAAACTCCCCTGACAGACAACCAGCTTCTGACCACATGATACCAATGAGCTTAATACAAGATCATTTCAAATTATTTAATTGGATTTGATAATTCTGTGGCCAGCGTGAAAGAGCAAAGAGGGCACCATTGTCCCACAAGGACAGAGTGGTCTGGGAGATGTCTCAGCCCAGTCTTCTGAAACTACAGCCCAGCCTGCAGACCAGAGCTGCCCCAGCTGGCACCGGGGCTGGGGGTAGGCCCTTCCCCCCCAGAGCTGGCTAGGGAGAAGCCAAGTTTCTAAAAATCCAAACAGTCGAGCCTGATAAATGTTGAAATCCCCGGAGGAGCACACCACAGGGATGCTGGCCCTGTGGAGTTGACCACAGAAAGCTGGGAGGACGGAAGTAATGTCCAGGCTTGGTCTGGAGATGAGAAGAAATGACACATGTGGGCTGTGCTCCAGGCCATGGGAAGGCCCAGGGCAAGAGGAAGACGGTGTCCTCGAGCCCCAGCAGGTTAAAGGATAGAGTCCAGAGTGTGCCTTGGGGCCTGAAGGGAATTGTCACCAGGGGAAGACAGGTCACAGAAGGTCTCCTCAGACGTATGGAGGCTTTGTTCTTTATCCAAACAGCAGTGAGAAGCTACCACAAAGCTTTACATGGGGTGACACAGCTAGATTTGCATTTTAGAGATGGGACTCTGATGGCAATTGTCAAATGAATTGGAAGGAAACAGTGCTAGTGGAGAGATGATGGAAAGAATGTTGTGGTTTAGGAAGAGAACTTTGTGACCTGGTCTAAGCAGAAGCTGGCAGAGGGAGGGAGAGGAGCAGACGGACACAGGAAGCACTGGGAGCCAGACTGGCAGGCAGGACAGTGGACAGGGTCAGCAAAGCAGTGGTATGGCAGCCCATACCCCCAGGGGAAACCACAGACCAGAAAGGCACAGAGTCAGTCTGCAGGAGGCGGTGTGACAAGGGGATCCTGAAAGTATCCAAGTCAAAATGTTGAGAACCCAGGACACCTGGTGTCAACAAGCCCAGAAGAGACGTGTGGACTGGGGATGGGGATTTGGGAGCATGTGAGCACAGATTACCAGTGAGGCTGGGGGAGTGACTGGGAATTAGGACACCGGAGATGGGGAGGGGTGTGAGAGGAGAGGAGGAGAAACAGGCAAGCAGGGAAGGTGGGAATCTCGCAGGGTGGGTAGGAGAAAGATCCACCAATAAGGCCCAGAAGCAGCCCCACTGGATCTGGGGAAAGGGGGCAATTGGGGACCTGGCTGGAGCAGGGCCAGGAAGGGCCCAGGGCAGAACCCAGATTGGAACAGCATGAGCTGCAGTCTGAGAAGCGTGGTATGTTGGAACTGGCTCCTGATGGCTCAGCAGGGCCATACGTGTTGTCTTCAAGAATTACGCGAGCCAATCGTTAAAGACAGCCGTCATTTAAAAACACAGTAGTAAAATACATTAAACACAGGGATAATAAATACGCAACAGCTCCTGACTCATTTTCCTGTGTGTGTTCTGAGGGTCACTTACAAGGACCATTTCTTTGCCCTGGAAATACCACAGAACTGAAGGTGACTGTCCAGTGCCTCCCAACGCTGCCTTCAGGGAGGTCATGCTGGCAGCTGGAAATAGCCGCCACGGTGAGGGCATTCACACCATGGAAATGGGCAAAGCTATGAGCCAGGGCTCTATTTTCCAGAGCTGGTTGTTAAACGTTTGCCAGCACACCACTGGGACACGAGGAAGTGGAGGAAATAGGAGAAGGGCTCCAAAGGGCAGAGAAGGGAGGATGGCCACGGTGAAGATGAGTCAGCTCTTGGAAGGTGAGGGTTCCAGTGCGTTCCAGTGCTCCCACCAATAGGTCGAAGGTGCTGGTACCCTGGTTAGTCAGCAAGAAGTCAAAACAACAGACACGGGGGCCTTGCCATCGGGCAGAGGCAGGGCCGAGTCTTAGAGTGTAACGCGATGGAGGACGGAGAGGATGCTTTTAAGCTGTGGCCTCAGGAGCGGGTGGAGGCATCCCTGTCTGGTGGCTGTTTCCTATGGAGCAGTGAGAGTCAGTGCCCCATAGTCGGGCACCACACCAGGACGTCCGGTCAGCGACCCACAGCGCGTAGGAAGGAAGTCCCGTAGGATTGTATCTCCTGGTGACATCGCCATCTTAGTCGACCCAAGTACATGCCATGGCACTGGCACAGCAGTGAGGTCACCTAAAGACACTCCCCAGGACCCGGCCCTGTTGTTAAATGACACGTAACTGTAGTTAGCTAAGTGGATGGACAGGTGCCTTCTGGGGGTGCAGGGAGCCAGGTGCCCCCAGGGCCGAGGAAGGTGGAGAGCCGCTGAAGCCCGGGGAGCTGCTGGGGCAGCAGAGTGCTGCTGTTGTCAGGTGCCACTGAAGATCAGTGAGTGTGGCAGGCGCATCTCCTGTGTCCCCAGCGGTAACGCCTCTCTCTCTTCCACAGGTGTCCTGGCGTCGGTCTGTGGTGGCCTCGTGATGCTTTTGCCTGAAACCAAGGGCATTGCCTTGCCAGAGACAGTGGACGATGTGGAGAGACTTGGCAGGTATGGTTCAGAATTCAAAACCTCTCAAACAAAAACAGCATGTTATTTTTTATGTTTATTTAAATTTTTGGTAGTGTGGATTGAACCCAGGGGTGCTTTACCACTGAGCCACACCCCCAACACTTTTTATTTTCTATTTTGAGACGGGGTCACAATGAGTTGCTTAGGACCTCACTAAATTGTGGAGTCTGGCCTTAAATTTACAATCCTCCTGCCTCAGCCTCCTGAGTTGCTAGGATTATAGGCATGTACCACCATGTCCTGTTTAAAAACAGAATTTGAAACCATGGGGGAAAAGAAGTGAGGTCTGTCTGTATGGAGTGACATAGGAAGCTTCTCAGGGTTCACCACAAAGTGAAGCATGCACAATGTTACAATTTTGATTAAAAACTAAACCTATATAGCAATCCCTCCCTATAGCTATATGGAAAGAAAGATGACAGACAAAAACAGATTGATAAGTAAATGATAGGCAAATAGAAATAGATAGACAATATAGATGATAGATACACAAGCAAATGGATAGGTGGGTAAAAATAGACACATAGGTGATTGACAAATTATTGATAGATAACATGGATAATAAAGACACATAGATGATAGATACATAAATAGATACATGGATGGATGGATAGACATAGAGAGGAGTGAGAAAGAGAGAGAGACTGAGTTTTGGAGTGGGTTATTTAAATAGTATTCAGGTTATACATTGATTAATATCCAACCAATATATAAATTTGAGGAGTAATATAAAAAATTCACATTGTACAAATTCTCATTTTCTCTCTTAAATTTTTCATCATAAAAAGGTAGAAAATGTGGATATAATGATGTGTAGTGAAAATGTAAAACAATAATTTATACCCTCAAGGATGGAAGTGGGCTGGGAAGACTTATGTGGGACACATCTGTAGTGTTAGGTTTTGTTTTGGTTTTTTCCCCCTTTAGAACATATGGTCTGGTATTATATGTGTAATTTTTAAAAAATGATTAACAACTAACTTAAAAATTAAAAATCAATCTTAATGACCCAGAAATTAAGTATATAGACCTTTAAATCTTTAAGAAATGTATGAACAATATTTATTTAAAAGACTGAGTTTTAGGGCTGGGGATATAGCTCAGTTGGTAGAGTGCTTGCCTCCCATGCACAAGGCCCTGGGTTCTAGCCCCAGCACCGCACGCGTGCACACACACACACACACACACACACAGAGACTGAATTTTACTAAACTCTCCTTTGCTTGTTGAGGAGAGAGTAGAAGCTGATGCGGGTAGCAGCACCTGTGTGATCAGTGGTTTCACACATGCTGTTCCATTTTGGCTGGGAAGTCAGCAGGTTTCCCACCGTTTCGGCACCAGGACCGGCCGTGCTCTCTGGATACACCCGGGGCTCCCCCCGGGCTAGATTCACTTCAGCTGCGACCTATTTGTGGCTTGTTTTAAGTCGTGAGATCCCTCCAGAGGCCTGGACAGTCCGCTCTTCAGATCCTCCTTTTAATGGGGCGCAGCTGCCCCCCCCCCCCAACTTGGTGTGGTGGAGACCAAATCGTAGCCATATTCCATTGGCTGCCTACTGACCAGGCAGGCCAATCAGAAGGAAGGGGCGTTCCCTCCAAGGACCCAGGGGAGGCAGTTGTGCCTCCCCTTCCCCGGGACAGTCCTGCCTGAAGTTAGGGGTGGGTGGGAGTTGGTCCTTGTGACACCACCATTTTGTAAAACAAAATTAAGTTAACAAGAGAAATGGGTTTAAAGTGTTAAAACCCCAGAAGTCCTCCGGAGCCTTCTAAGACCCCTAGGTTTGGATCAGGGCATGGGGACTGGGTCAGGAGCCAGGCGTCCCATCCTGTCACCCCAGTCACAACCATGCTAGAAGACCAGGAAAAAAGAGAATGTCCAAGGAGGTCAAAATGAAGAAGGGGAAAGTAGTGAGGAAGGAAATGGACTTCCCTTAAAATAAGTGTTCACAGTGGAAGAGGAAATTCTCGTGGTCCATGTGCTCCTCACTCCCACCGGGATTATGGGTCAAAGGTGAGGCTGTTGGTGGCCTGTGTGTAGGTCCTTGTGCCTTCTTCATCAGATTCACTGCCTCACTAGTGACCCTCCATGCCAATATTCCAACAAGGGGACCGGCATTCTCCTTGTGGTCCTGCCGCACTGGCTGGACCTGTTTAAATCGAGCAATGTGCTCTGCTTAATTCAGGGGTTTCCTAACTCACCAGGAAAGAATACAGGAAGAGGGAGTCATCTGAGATCAGGATGCTTCAGCGACAGCAGTCATATTGAAATTAGATTACTGGGAGAGATGGGAAAACTACTGTCCAATATTTTTGTTTGATAACTGATATATAAACATGAAGAATTATACCAACAAAAAAATTTTGGTTACACAGATTCTTTTTAATTTTTTATGTTTGTGATTTTTCATAAGAAGCTAGGTGAATGAATTATATCTAGTCCCTACCCTTGAAAAGCAATCTATTGGAAGTATGATTTACAGTCCTATAAATTAAGCACATGGATTACGGCCCGTCATTATTTACTCTGGAACAAGACCACTTAGTACCAAGGGAAACCTGTTAGCATGCTCCCTTCTAAAGGCGCAGCGAATTATTCTACCATTTCTGCTGCTTTTGTTCACGTCAACAGCTCACTGCCAAGCCCTGCTGTGTAGTAGAAATTCACAAGGAAGCTGCAGGCCATAATGCTGATGAACCACTCTGTAGGGTCCAAAAGCAGACCAAAAATCTCTTTTGTAACCTCTGAGTCAGGTTGTTAGGAGGTTTTCCTCATGAGTGGCTTTGGTGAAAGCAGTGCTCGTGAGCACTAGTTGTGTAGTCTTTCACGAGGACTCTGTCTTTCCTCCGTTGTTTCATAAGTTCGTATTCTATCAATATCACAGGAAAAAGGAAACCCAGGTTTCCAGCGCTCACCTTTGAGGGCCCTGCCAAGCCCGCGGGAAGGAGCTGTCAGAAGACCACCCTCCTGGAGATGCGGAGCCTCTAGAGATGCACCTGCGTGTTCAGCTCCCTGGTGCGGCACGATCCAGTGTATTGAGTGCCATATGAATACGTTCAAACTATCCGAAGTATTTTTATATGATGTTGGATGAGTTGGGGTTTATCATGCTTTCAAAGTTTCTGGAAACATGTAATATGTGGCCCATTTAGCCAAGAGCTGATAGGTACACAGTACTTTTTTTTTTTTATTTTTTCCTGATGTTGGAGCAGCGATCCCTGACTCTTACTATTGAAGAGAAACAAGAGAAGCCTCCACCGTGGATTCTTATAATAGCTCCATCAAAAATTCAGGATGAGCTGGACTGCCATCCCAACAACTTGGGAGGCTGAGGCAGGAGGATCACACGTTCAAGGCCAGCCTCAGCAACTTAGTGAGATTCTGTCTCCAAATAAAATTAGAAAACAGGGCTGGGGACATAGCTCAGAGGTAAAGCACACCTGGGTTAAATCCCTAGTACCACACACACCAAATGCAGTCTGTGCAAACCAAGGATCTAGGAAAGTTGTACAGAAATGTGTTCATGAAATCCCACGAAGGGATGTAGCACCAAACTGAGTGTTCTGAGAGCAGGGAGGAGGAGGATGTGGGGATCCTCTCAACGAAGAGACTAGACTGAGGACTCGGGCCACACGGGGCCCAGCCTGCACCGTCTCTGTTCACTTACGTTCCGGAAGCCATCCCAGCATGGACAAGTCAGCCGTCCCTCCTGTCCACCTCCTCTGCAGCATCTAAGGTTCCAGGCACAGTTAGGTCTCATTCCATAATAAGAACAGATCCACTGGACAATTTGGGGTTTGGCTCTATTATTTATAAAATCAGGTTTGGGTCCTGAGATTATTCAGGATATTTTTGGTCCTCCTTTAGTGGAACCTGGAGCCACAGATTTGTACTTTATTCAACAAAACCCATGGATTATGAGTCCCTGGGTCTTAGGGTTCTAAAAGTGAGGAGATATTTATGTTGCACCTGTGGGTTCAGTTGTGATGGTGCCTGTGGTAGAGGGTGGAACCCACAGACAGTTCTCCTTTCACCTTGGCACTCTGGGCTTGTCCTGGGGAAAGCTTATGTTTTCATTAAAGGAAAGGTCATGCTAAAAAGAATTAGCAGCAGCTTTTTATAAATGACTTTATACTTATTAATTAGGGATTTGAACTTTCCTTTCTGTTATCAAGACTTTCGAAACCAGGAACTTAAAAAAGAAACATAGTGTTCTGCTTTGTGTGCTACATCTGTTATACTTTCAGAGTCAGTATATATCATATGCCAAATTTTTTTAAGGAGAAACTTTGTGCGCATGGGTAAAATGGGTACCAAAGGGAAACCTTGCCAATGAAGAAGAACATTTCTCTGTGTGGACATACACACGTGTGATAGCACGTAAGACATGTGTGCTGATTCCAGAATAAACTCCTTAATCCTTAAAGCACAATCAGAATTGAATACGAACGCTCACACTCAACCATGATGTCAGCACAGCCTTATGAGAACATGATAATGCATTCACCCTGCGCTCATGGACATTTGTGCTTTTAATTTTTTTTGGCACCTCTTTGCTGTAAGATGGCTGCTGCTTTTTGATACCATCACCACCTAGTTGTATCTGGAGGTGATATTTTTGTTTGGCAACAATAAAAAATTTTAAATTGTTTCAAGAATCCATCCTTTCTCTTCCTTTGGAACACGTGTCGCTGTAAAACACTGAAAGCATAAAAAGCACATGCCAAACCGTGCTAATCAGTGATGGAAAACAAGCAGCCCACCTTCAACACGGGTTTCTTGTTCCTTTATAAGATCTTGACACCATCCCTACAATTAGATGTGACCCAGAGTAACATGCAGACTCTTGGCTGGTCTTGTATTACTCTTCCATTGCCCGGATCATACCACGATACACAGCTCTCTGCGTCCCCTGGGCTGGGCCAGAGTTGAGTCATCAATAACAGATTTCATTGCTGGGAATAGAACCTGTTCTCCTGATTCCCCATACAGGGGGCAGCTGTGAGAACATTCAGCCCAATGCCAAAGGACAGACTTTAAAGATAGCATCAGACCAGTGTTAGTGGATGGGGGTCAGTGTATGAGGGACTTCCTCAGACTTCTCGGCTCCCTTCTCTGCAATCCTACAGGCCTCTTACTCCTGTAAGCAATGGTTCCTTATGAAAACAAGCTAACTCACTGTAGTTTGTTCATTTGAAATTGGTAAGAAGAATGTAGAACATGAAAATATTGAAACTCAAAAAAAGAAAATATCGAAAATCTCCACCCCACCCACCAAAAAAAAAAAAAAACTCAAAACAAAGTAAGTACAGAGTTTATTTTCAACAAATGGCATAGCTGTGTTGCCTTATTATTAAAGAATCCAGTAGGTCCATGAAAAATTTATCCACGATAGTACAAAACGGGCTGAGGGTAGGCAGCAGCTGTGTACAGTGTCTCGGTTTGATTACTGTCGATTATTTCTGAGCACTCTGAATTCCTTACCCACGTTCCAGCTTCTAGGTAAGTGGATGCTTCGCTCTATCTCCCATTCAGTTACTCCTCATTATTCCTTCAATCCAATTCACGAACCTTGAGACGCGGACGTAGACGCCTGGCTTATTGGGACGAGCGCACCCAAGGCCCCAAGAAGTGACTCCTTGCAAAATGTATTTGTCCTTCTCGAAGCAAACCAGAGGCCCTCCACTGTCCCCCTAGATGGAGAGAGGGAAAAATCCATATGAAGATTAAACTTCTTTGATTATAGGATGCCACCTTCTACCATCAGTGTGTAAGTTTCCCCAGGATTTGAAGCCAGGAAGAAACTTATTGACGTATCCTTTGAACCTCCGCAGCATTTAAGTACTTAGCGAATCCTATTCAGCAAAACCACCCTGTTCCATTTTCCCTGGGAAATGATCCCTGTGGATGCTGCTGCCTGGAGGCTTCTTTGAGGCCCAGCCAGCCTGAGCACAGTGGTCAAGTGGTACAACTGGTTTCTGGCCACCCTTTCCCTCCCCCAGACCCCGTCCACCAGCACAGCTCAGGGAGGCCTGTGGCCTGTGGCCTGTGGCAGCTGCTGTACTGAACACACACCCTGACTGCCCTTCTGGAACTCGAGGCCTGAGAAATTATCCCAGATGTTCTACCTACATCCAGGGTCTGAGCAGAGGGTTTCTCGACAACATTGAGACTGGCACTTGGGTTGCGATTCCTTCTTGACTTTAAATACTGCAATGTCTAAGGGGCTGAGACAGGCCAGCCCAAGACCAGCTTGGGTCTCTATAACCCTTTCTTACCTGGCAGCTGTCAGTGCCACCGTCCAAATGCCCAGCACACAGCTCTGTTGGTTTGACTCTGCCGTTCAGATACTCATAGCGATTGCACACCTTATTCTCGATCACAGGCAGATGGGCCTCCTTGAGAAAACCAGCACCAGAGGTCCCTGTGTTTAAAGAGTAAAGAAACCGTTACTGGACCCAGCACATGCTCAGGAGGAGACTTCAGAACGTCAGAGCAGCCGCGAAGAGTCTCTTGTCTGTGTGGCCGTGTGCTGTGAGTATTCATATTATAATATTATTAAAATATTATAACTTTAAAAAGTGATAGCTAATATAATAGGTGGCAGTTGCCCTGATTCACTTTCTAATCCACATTTCTTGAACAGTTAGGGAGAGGGAACATTCTCCTATACATTTGTTTTACTAGTTGCATTTCTTCTTTTGGTGAAAACTGATATTTTTTTCTTTGCCAAATTGAATAGAGCATTTGCAGAATTGCCAAAGGAAATAAATACGGCTTTCCCAGATGGACCCACCCAGGGACATCTCAGTGTTTTCACAGATGATACAGTTTTCCAATTTTGCAAGCCCAGCTTTCACCGAAGTTTTGCAACATATCTTTGCTTTGCTGGCATGGGACAGCCCAGAAATGACATACTATCTCTTCCCCAAAGACTGTGACTGAACTTAGATGGTCGATGTGGGTTCAGAAAACTCGCAGTCCGTCTGGAGATCACAGGAGCCCTCAAGAGGCCTGTCCCAGGGTCCGGCTGGCAGAGCTGCCTTGGAGGAGGGGCCTGAGAGGAAGAAAGCTGTGGGCAGGGAGCACGGCTTGAACTGAGTAGCTCAGGGAAGACCTCCTTCTCAAACCGTTTGGCCAAAGGTTAAGCTATCCAAGGGTCACTGCTGTCATATCTGCTTTCTGAGCACGACAGACGTCCTGAAGCCAGTGAACAATCCTTGGCAGTGTGACGGGAAGTTGATGGGTCTGTGAGGAAGTGCTGCCTTCCTGTGGCCAAATAGGAGAAGGCACTTCTGGGGGCTGGGAAGCTGTGGGTAATGGGGGACAGAAACCCTTGTGGAGCTGTGAGGAGGGGGCAAGAAGGAAAGCCAGCCGCAGATCCCTGAAGGCACCCCGGATGGCAGGTTGGAGGTTGACCTGGGAGAGCCCCTTGGCCTCAAGGCTTGCTTTGCTTTGGAATATTGAAGCCAGAGAAAGTCTGGAGATGTGAGAGGAGAGGAGAATTTTGATCTCACACTGAGAACATGAGTTAATCTGAAGTATCTGGGCTTAAGTTTTGTCATGGGACGACTCCTGGGGAGTGACTTCTGAGATTCATATTCTCAATGGATGTGTGACAGGACCAGGAGAGACAGGAAGCCCAGTGCAGGGTGGCAGTCAGAAGTATGTGGGTGGAGAAGGGGGGCAGAAAAACTGTGAATGGACTTAGGAGTCAGGCAGACTGGCCTCTCTCAGGGCTCAACCACCCACAGCTTATGTGAAGTCCATTGGTAGTGATGATGTTGGCAGTGATGCTGTTGGTGGTGATGGTGATGGTGATGTGATAGCGATGGTGATGGTGATGATGGTGATGGTGGTGATGATGATGGTGATAATGATGGTGATGGTGATGGTGATGGCAATGGTGATGGTGATGATGGTGATGGTGGTGATGATGATGGTGGCAGTGATGCTGTTGGTGGTGATGGTGATGGTGATGATGATGGTGATAATGATGGTGATGGTGATGGTGATGATGGTGATGGTGGTGATGATGATGGTGATAATGATGGTGATGGTGATGGTGATGGCAATGGTGATGGTGATAGTAATGATGGTGGTGATGATGATGGTGATAATGATGCTGATGGTGATGGTGATGGTGATGATGGTGGTGATGGTGATGATGATGGTGATAATGATGGTGATGGTGATGGTAATGATGGTGATGGTGGTGATAATGATGGTGGTGGTAGTGGTTGCTGAGGTTGATGCTGATTGTGGTGTTAATGGTGATGGTGCATAATTTTAGTACTCAGGATAAACTTACAGGGTAGTACAGATCATGAAACTGAGGCTTAAAGATGTCAAATAACTGCCTGAAGTCACATGGAAGATGGTAGAGCCAGCTCACTCCCAGATCCTCATGAGTTTTAGGTTTGTATTTAAGCAGTCAAGATGTTGTAGGGGATATGTGTTGGTTTTCTGGCTTCGGATCAGCTTTGTGGCCTACATTCCATAATGCTGTTGAGGGATCTACCTTTTTCCCCTGCCGGACACAAGTGGGTCCTGCCTTCAGCTCCAGGATGGATAGTCCTGGACAGTCCTGGACAGAAGTGGGCACAGAAATCAAGCCTGAGCTTTCAAAGCTGGGCGGACTGTTGCTTGAGCTGTGGGGAAAGTGGCCTCCCCTCCTCCCTGGCAGAGCCAGAGGCAGCACAGTATCCACAGCACAAGGGAGTCACCTGTGTGCCCAGATGGCACCTGGACCATGGTTGGAAAGGGCCAGAGGCCTGGGATATCACGGGAGCCACCCTTCTTTAGCTTACTATTAATCCCTGTTTTCATTTTCTTAATACAGTTTGAGCTGGATTTTCTGTCACTTGTAATAAAGAGCCCTGTTGGATACAAACCCCATGTCATTGACAAGAGCCACCCCTCACGCAGGGCTGAGCCTGAACGTGCCCTTTCTCACTGCTTCGCCCACTGCAGCCCTGCAGCCGGTGGGTGGCCTAGGACACCATCAAGGAGTGGGCACTTTCTCACCTACCGCTGGTGAGTGGGAGCCAGGGTTCCAGGTCAGGGCTCACCCCAGGGAGCAGGCTCTCTGCTGTGCCATCCTGTACCTTCTCTGAGCCTCAGATTCCTTACTTGTAGAACAGGAACAATGGTGTCTGACTCACGGGAGTTTAGAACATTTAACTTTTTTGTTTCAGTGCTGGGACTGCACCCAGGGCCTTGTGCATCCGAGGTGCTCCAGCCCTGCCTTGAAATTTTTTTAATGCAAAACACCTGGGTACACCTGATGCCCCCAAGATGGACACTTCATTTTCCACTTTCGCTTTCCTTGGCCTCAATGCCTCCCACTCAGAAGTGCAGAGGGGGGAAATGAGAGGTCAAGGGGATGAGGTTTCAAAAAACAGTAGGAAAGCACAGAAAGGGGGAAACCAAGTTGGAAATGAACTAGACTGGGTGTTTGTTCGTTTGTCTGGTTTTCACCCTCTTCTTTTTGAAATCCACAAAAAATCTTTCTTCAAATTAACTTCTCTCCAGCTCCTGCAAAGCCAGTGCTCACACCAACCCTTCTGAGAAAGTGAGGCAGGGACCCTCAAGCAGTGCTGGTGTTCCCACAGCCAGGGCCCACCCTAATGAACACCTTAATATCGGGGTACTTGTAAAGAGAGGAGGGGGTCCCCAGAGTGAAGTACAGGTGCTGGCTGACACCAGATCCCACAGGAAGGCCCCCTCAGCACATACCTATGCTGACCTGGGCCCCGGGGGCTTTCTCTCCTTCCCATCTGTCAGCCTGCCCCTTCCCCGACAGCCTCCCACCCACATTAGACACATGGGTATTTGGGAAGAAGACTAATTCACAACTTTTGTTGTTATTGCTTTACACCAAGTTTTGGAATCCAGTATGGCTAACTTCATATAAAAATGACCTATACCCTGAATTTGTGGGTGGTGTCATCACCTTCTCACCTGGGGAAGCAATGTTCACACTGCAGTCACGAGTTTGGGGACTCCAGGAGACAGTCTCCTTCCTCTTGCCTATGTCCCTTGATAACTGATTAGGGAGGCAGTAAGGTAAGGGTTCAGGCAAAAGTAGGAGGGGGCGGGACCCATTCAGGGGTAGGGACTTGTGCAACTTTCTTCAAATGCTCATTTTGTCATGAAGGCTGTAGGTCAAAGCCAATCCGACACCAGACCTGGAATTCGTCTCACCTTGGGTTTCTCCCCAGCCAGTGATGTAGCACTCCGTCCGGTCAGCAACCACATAATTCGGGGATGGCAGGCAGATGGGGATCACTTTGTCAGTGATGGTGGCAGGTCTGTGAAAGAGAAACATCCAAAGGTATGCGTGGTCACCCTGCGGGAGCCCCTGCATTTACCAGCTCATCGCGCACCAACGATGCCACCTGCCTGGAAGCCCCAGCGCCCAGAGCTGGTATTTCCTCACTTCACTGACTGCAGCTTCTCGTCCTCACATTTGCCTAAAATTTTCTATGAATTCAGCAAATATCCCATTTCATTTGAATAGCTTCAGTTTTGTTCGAGAACCTGCTGGGGGCCGTGGCCTTGGGGAGTAGGGATGACAAGCCTCACTCTGCATGTGTCCTGTGCAGAGCTGGAACTTTGCACCAAGTATAATTTCATATTAATTTGGAGGGCGTCAGTCAGTGGGCGGATCATCTAGATGGAGCAACTCATGAGGCTGCCCCACAGCCAGAGCACGTGTGGCCCCAGCAAGTTGCTCTATTTAGGAGCCTCAGTTTCCTTGACAATAAATGTTCCAACATCGTGGTTATAAGAATATAGTAAAATGCTGGACACTGGTGAAAGAGGATTGGAGTCCTAGGGACATTTAAACATTAGAATTTTGATGTTTAGAGCTGATTCTACTTTAGTAAGTCCAAGAGGGGGAAAGATTGGAAATAGCAGGGCATAGTGGCACACATCTGTCATCCCAGCTACTCAGGAGGCTAAGGCAAGAGGATCACAAGTTTGAGGACAACCTTAGCAACTTAGCAAGACCCTGTCCCAAAATAAAAATAAAAAGGGTCAGGGGGTATATCTCAGTGGCAGAGTGCCCCTGGGTTCAATCCTTAATTAAAAAAAAAAAAAAGTGACATGTCCTTTTCTAAGAACCATCATTCAGTGCTGCCAAACTTCAAATCAGATACACTTTCCTGGAGGCACCAGAATAGAGCAGGCCTCTCACATGGATTTCACTCCATAGGTCTCCTCAGGGCCCAATAAACACCTTAGACCCTGGGGCGTGGAGAATGCAGGGGAGGCACTAAGGCTCAGCCCCCTAAGGCTCAGCCCACAATATCACAGAACACTTCCCGGATCTGAAATTTACCAAATTGTTTGTTCAAGCCATCAGATCACCTTGGGAAGTCTCTGGGGACCTAAGGAAACTTGTATTTGCTAGGGGGTTTGGGGGAAAATGCTGGGGATCAAGAGGGGAGTGAGCTGCATTGTCGGGGGGGCCAAGGGAGCCCACTTCTTTTCTTTCTAGAGTGTCCAAATACCCCAGTGTTTAGCACAACCTCTCAGTGGATAGACCCAAAAAAGTCTCCTGAGTTTGTGACCAGACCCAGAACAGCAGCACCCAGGTCCTGACCACAGCCTTGTGCCACTGGCCCACGCTCGCCACTGTGTCGTCACCTCGTCCTCTGGAACCCATCAGGCCCAAATGTGCATTTCTCAAACAGCTATCTGCTTGTGAGCTGCCTCCACTGGGACCTATTTCCCAACATTCCTAACTTTGTGACATAAGCAAATTTGTCACTGTCATCTTCATAGAACACCACCTCAACAGGAGAAATACAACCAGAGATGACAGCAACGGTATCGTTTGCTTTCATGGAGTTTGGGGCATGGTTTTTGTTGTTGTTTTTCACATTGTGGTTTTTTTAAAGTACTTTGAAATATGTAATCTCATTTGTTTCTCTCAAAAGTATGCTGAGAGGGGACTCTCAGCCTGGAGTCATTTAATCACTCTCTGGCGAACAGTGAGAGAATATTAGAGGTCACAGTTCACCTGGCATTTCAATTCACTCTTTTTCTACCTAAGGAAACTGAATCCTGGTTCCTTTTTCAGGATCAAGGCTGGCATGTGGTAGTATTAGGGCTGAGTCCAGATTTTTTGATGAAGTTTGATGCTTTTTCCCAAAATCTTGCCTTCCACCACATAGACAGCACCTCCACATAGACACCCACCCTACAGTGAGGGCTCATAAAACCCAGGCATGAAACAATGTCCTCACTCTGCTCCGGGCAGGAGCCACAGGTGAGCTCGTACCTGCTCAGCTTCAGCAAGGCGATATCTGCTCTTGTGGGCTCCAGGAACAGTTTAGCCACTTCTATTTCCTGAACATGTGGCTCAAGATTCACTTCTTGGTGTGCGCCCAAGATGACCTTGTATGAGGAAGGCCTTGAAGACCTAGAAAAGACAGTGTCATCAGGAGCAAATTACCGTCCAGCCCCTTCACTGGGTCCCCATCTTTGCCATAAATATCACGTTGTCTGCCAAGACCCACAACTACTGGAATTGGTGACTTCTGAGGGATAAGAAATAAAATTCACAATTTTCCTGAACCTGGCAGTTAAGGATTGGGGACCGGCGTCTGTCACAGTGAATCCCTCTGCAGTGCTGTCAACCCAGGCCCACAAAGTCACCTGCACTGGGTCTTTCTAGAGACACTTCTGAACTGTCACACAATTGCCCTGGCAATTCTGCTGAAGGCTTCTGCATATCCACTCCCCGGCACCGGCATCCCTGCCACAGGCGGGAGGAGGCAGGGGATGGGGAGGAGGGAGGAAGCCTTCAGGATGGGCCCTTACATCAGTTACCCAACGTACTTCTCCAAGCAGTGAGCAGCAGTCAGCACCCACTCTGGGGATATTAAACTGCCTCCACAGAAGTGCCTTCCAAATCTAGGAGAAGAAGGGGGGAAAAAAAGCCAAGATTTTAGTTCAGAGCTGATGGCTTCTCCTGCTTCTTTGCAAACCAGAAAGACACACTCATGCAATTTTGATAATGTTGCTGTTCCCAAAAGGAAAGGCTACCAGTCCAACATCAAGATGGCGGGAGCTTAGAATCACACTTCAGCATGGGACTTTCCAGAAGCTTCCATCTACACCTGGAGGCTCCAGGCACAGCCCGGCCACGGGGAAAAAAACCAGGGGCTCCCACATTAAGTCCTACCCCACAGCTTTGACCTCTTAGCCCTGTGGCTCCAACAGCAGCCACCCTCCAGAGAACTTCCCTGGAGGGAGTTTCTTTTGACAAGACCTATGCCTAATGATGGGTGATGAATCATTCTTCAGGGCCCTGGTGGTCCCGAAGAGCGGTGACCCATGGCAGTCTGCTGATTGCACCTGAGGAACTTGACTTTTTGAAGCTGTCCCCTATATCACTTGCCCCCATGTACTGCTTAGTCACATAATAATGGGGTGAACCACTCTGAGCCAAATCGCAATGAAAAGAACACTAAAGGTAAGTGTCTGTCCACAGGCACGTTAATAAATCGATCAGGAGCTAGGCCACCATAGCATGGAAAGAGCAGATTCACAGTGTGTGGAAGGCCAGGGCTCTTCTAGCAAGGATTCACCGAACACCAGCTCAGGAAAAGCCACCTCCGCAAGAGAGTGCAAGGGAACATGACTGCGTGTGGGATGACAGTCCCAAGCAGCGGAGGGGAGGCCTTGGGGTCAGCAAAACCGCTGAGCCCGCACGTGTGAAGCAAGCAAGCCAGGAGACAAGGCTGTGTCCCACCTGTGTTTGACAAGATGTGCCAAGAAGACTGACTTACTATCAAAGCACATCAACTGAAAAGAGAGCCCTACATTTTGGTGATTTCAGACTATAATTCAGTCACGTATTTGTGAATGGGCGAGCAGTCCCTGCCTCAAATTCAAGACTTGCAAAAATGTGCAAAAGTATTTTTTTTTTAAGTTTGGATGCCTGATAGGTTGTAGATAATTCTGTTTTTGCCCACTGCCAAAGGGTCACATTTTTGAAAAAATTCCCTTCTTTTCATTTTACCATGAGCCGATGGTATCCATACAAACCCATGAGAAGCGTCTTCAATATTTTTCCAGCAATATCAGAGCTTGCTGTAGACAATGGTGTCTACAGACTTTGACGATAACATACCAGAGGGTGTTTATTTTTGTTTTGTTTTGTTTTAATCCAGTTTGAGCCACTTTCAAAGTAGAAAACCCAGAATTTAAAAAAAAAAAAAGAATTGTGTAGCTTTGTTTTCTCCTTAGAAGAATAGAGGCAGGTGTGGATGTCTCAGTACCACGGGTTTGTCGGGAAGGTTTGAGGGCTCTCAGTGAAGGATGGATAAGCTGTTTTTGAGAATGTCCTTACCTTGTCCTAAGACTGATCTGCCAGGGCCAGGAGTGAGCATTGGCCACACACCCTCCTACCACTCTTCCAGAACACTTCTTGGGCTCCACTTTAGGCTTCCCACAATCAAATGAAGACAAGGACGCTGTGACACAAAGTCAGAATAGTCACGTTTGGGTCAAAGGTGTCAACCGTCACATAGTTTAAGATGAATTCACAGCTGTGGGCCAAGCTCAGAATTCATGGCATAGTAAAGCCCAGGCAGGAGAAGTAGCAGAATCACAGGCAACGTCTGGAACATCTTTTCCAGGTTTCAAAGGAGGCAATAGATAACACAGACCCTCTTCTTTGAAGGAATTACAAGTACTTCTTCATTACGGGGAGTAGGGATAAAATAAACTGGTATAATTCATCATTAGAATGACATCTTTACTGAGAAGACTCAGATTGGTACAAATGGCTATTTGTGTTTGTCCAACTCAAAATTTAGAACACAGTATCATCCCCAACTAAGCCAGGTGAGGTTTCCTGAAGACCACAGCAATCACCTCCACTGGAAGACATAAAGGTGTTTTATTTCATGTGAATTTATGTGTATGCGTGCCCATGCATGTGCACGTGTGTGTGTGTGTGTGTGTGTGTGTGTGTGTGTGTGTGACTGTCAGCAGCAAGGCTAACTATCTAAGTTGAAATTCTGCCTTCTCTCCGCCAGCTTCTGCACACCTCCTCCAGGGAGCCCCCTTCAACTGCTGTGGGGATGACCTCCACATACCTGCCCTGCTTTCCCTCTACTTAGACTAGCCTGCAAGGTTCCTGGAGAGAGGGACTGGTGTCCGTCTTTGGTTCCCCCATTGATGGGTCTGTAAGGTGAAATACTGCCCATCTTAACCAATGAGAGACACTACTCTCTAGAGAATTTGGAACCTGGGTTTTCCAAAGAACTTTCCAATTGCTGTGGTCTGTTGAGAGTCTATATGCGAAGCCCTTTCCAAATAGAAGCATGTGATGTAAGGCTACCATCCTCCTTAACAATGAGCTTTATTTATGTTAATAGATTATATGCATAAGCATACTAAAGTAGGTGTATTTTTTACATTTGTATTAAAAATACATGCACGTGCAAAATATAAGTGCTCGAAGAATAACTATGGAGATGATGGTTCCTCGGTCTCACTGTTCCAAACAAAACTTAAAGTTTTTAATCTATCTTTCCTTATTTGTTGTTGGTATGGAATATGTAGGTAGAAATGAAAGTTATTGAAGTCCTTCAACAAACGTGTAACTTTAAATGAATATAAGTAAACAAAAGGTATTATATTTAAAGTGGTCATTCCTTCACCCAGGCCTTGGTGAACTCAAGGACACTGGGCTGCACAGACCACACTTGGGTTTCCAGAGGCCTTGCTGGGGGCTGTGGTTGTGCAGTCTGCGTACTGTTACTTGTTCTAATCACACTTGACGTTTACACAGATCCTTTCAGGAAAGCTGCTTAATGAAGTGCACAAGTTAATCAATGGTATTTTTTCCTTTTAAAGATGTGCTTTTCCTTGTAAATTAAACATAATGTAAAGGTTGGGGGATTTTATGAAAAATGATCATTAGGGAATTTCCCACTTAAGTCAACAAAATCTAAAATCTCCCAGGGAATGAGCAATAAAATATTTTTTAAGAAAAATGATACAAACAGTTGAAATGGAAAAAATCAAGCCATTTCTCAATCTGAAAAATCCAAATGAAACTACCCAAAACCACACGTGTGCACACAAAAAGATGCCATTAATCTGGGACTATCACCCTGTACAACACTGACCTGAAGTCCTGGAAGAACTACAGTGTGTGATTTTATTCACTTACTCATTCATTCAGCAAATATGTGTTCAAAGACATAGTACCTGCTACGCACCAGGCCTGTCTCTAGGCCCAGGAGACAGAGGAAATAGGTAAGAGGTCTGCCTTCAACCTTTCCATTCTGGAAGGTCAGGGAGTAAGAAGTTGATACACTGGAAGTTTCAATTGAGACCCAAAAGATGCTCAGGGGTGTTGAAAGACAAAGCCCCGTGCACATTTCTAAGGAAATAGCTCTTCAATGATTCTGGCTTCCTCACCATGTGGAGGTGTAAAAGAAACAGGTTCTCACAGATTGGAGGAAGCTCAAAGAATGGGAAGAGAATTGCTCCAATGGACTGTGAGGTCCCCCACCTCGCCACCACGCAGGGCAGGGCAGGGCAGGTCAACCCTGCACTTGGTGAGCAGCGCTCCCATCTCCCCTCGGAGGCCTTCAGGCCTGCTTCCTGCAGAAGGAAGTAGCTGGCGGATTCCCAGGGCTGCACCTGGGAGGTGACTGAGCCTTATCTCAAGGGAATCTGAAGTGCCTGAGTCCCAGGCACACACCATGAGGCCTGAGGCTGGGATGCCAGGCTGGGTTCCACCTAGAGGCAGCCTGTTGGGGATAAGAACCGGGGCAGGGAGAGGCAGTGGGTGGGTCATAGGACAGAGTCAAGGTGGAGAGTGAAAGGGAGGGGCTTTCAGGGAAGAGACCTCTGACAGCTTCTGCAGGACAGACAAAAGCACCAGCTAGAGAAAAGGCAGCCATAAACCCACCCTAAGCCCCGAGATTACAATGCCCTCTCATCATGGTGCTGGCCAAGTAGCATCCTTTCTGCCATGCCCATCTCCTTCCCCCCTGATGTCCCTGCCGCCACCCACAAGCAAAGCTAACAGGGCAGGGCGGCTCCCAGACTCCTAACCACTGCCCCCTACTGCCTTGGAACTTTGCAGGCCCAGTTCCTCCTGTCCAGCTCCTGTCCTTCCACGTGGCACACACCATCCACACAGCAAAGGAGTCCAGGGCAATACCTGGGACGAGTGCTCTGTGGTGACTTTGGTTTTGTTTTTTTTTTCCAGAAGTACCCATGGACACGTTATTTCAATCATTTAAGAACTAGGGTCAATCCCCCCCAATCCAAGCCTCTTCCTCCCTCGAGTTTGGAGCCATCAGGAAGGAGCATCTCTAAGTCAGTGGCCCATGCTTGACTGAGCAATGGGACTCTCAGGAGGGAGCAGTTGGAGCTCACTAAGGAGCGGCGCTGCATTTCAGTGTGTTCTCAGGGAGACAGTTTATGGGTTTCAGTTGACGTTTGTTTCCATTCTTATTTTTTGGCCTCTGGAGGAGGTGACTCTGAGCTTCTTCTTCACGATCTCTTGCTAGACATTGGAGAGTGCTGTGGGGCCATTCCAGGGCTGATTATATCACTCCTAAGCTTGCTCTTTTGGAGATTTGGTATCTGCCTTACCTAAGTCATGTGTATATGCACACATGTATGCAGTGTGTGTGTGTGTGTGTGTGTGTGCATTCCACTAGCAAATGAGACCATTGAAAGCACAGGTCCAAGATGCCCACAGCTGTCTCCCCCAGAGAGGCACTCAGCCCAAAGCCATTTTGTGTGTGCATGAGTATGTGAGTGTGTGCAAGTGTGCAAGTGTGTGTGCACACGGATCCTTATTAAAGAGGTGATCACCGCATTCGTTTGAAAAGTAATTTCCTTAGAAAAGAGAAAGCAACTTACCACACTGAGGGACGTCACAGTAGTCAAAAAGCTTTCTGGGATTTGTGGTGTAGCACCAGGGACCGTTGACATCATTGTCAGGGTTGCGGCAATACTGAAAAAAGGCAGCGTTTGAGAAGCGGCTCCTTTTCCCAGGGCCAAGCAGGGACATCACACTCTGGTCCTTACAGGACGGAAGGAGTGTTCCTTTTCTTTCTTCCTTCCTTCCTTCCCTCCCTCCCTCCCTCCTTCTTTTCTTACCCTCCCTCCCTCCTTTCTTCCTTCCTTCCTTTCTTATTTTTTGGAAAAGGGATTTGTTCAGATGCCTACAAGCCTCTGAATCACAGAATGCAGTGGTCACATGTCCCGGGGGGCCCAGCTGTGAGGCCTCTCCCCTGATGGATGGGGTAGGCACCTTGGAGGGTCTGAAGGTAAAGGGCATCTACACAGTTGGTCCTTCCTGCAGGTCCCACATGGACACCAGCCTTAGTCCCCTGAAATCTCTCCATTTCCCTCCCTTCCTTTCCCCCAACATGGAAGATCACTCCAGGTTGATTTTCTAGAACCCAGGACCAATTCTGTCCAAAGATTGGTCAGCCAAAGGCAAAAGAGAAACCTGAATCCAGGTGCTTACGTTTTTTTCCAGACCTGCCCGTGGGTTTGTCTGTGGGGTGAAAATGCTGTGTCTGTGGGGCTCCTGGGCAGCCCACTCCTGGCATGGAGTGCCAGTGACAGTGGTGGCCTTGGTGCCCCGGTAGCTCTTCCCATTCCCAAACATGCAGTCTGTGGGAGAGAAAGCCGTGGTTAGGGCCCTGCGTGGATTCAAGGCCCCAGGGGGGAAATGCAGCAGTGTGGGCTGGCCCCGACGGGTGTCACATCCCTAGGACCCCGGGATGCCGGAGACCTCAGCGAACACTGCCTATTACCAGGAACGCTCATTGACTTGGACATAATCATGAATTTAGCAGGGTGTTCGAGAATTTTGTCAGGACACCAAGATAACCCAGTGAGTAGGGAGTCAGAACCCCCTGAGGGATTTGCACGAGTCCAGAGGAAACTGCCCACCCACCTTCAGGCAACAATTCCAGCCCTGACTCCCCCACCCCATGTGTCAGACCCTCACCAACACTCAGCTTCCTGTGTAGCACAGAAGCATCTGCATTGGTAAGATTTTCCATCTCCTTCACCCCTGCCGGGTCAGGCTGCTCACCTGACTCAGAAGTGGTCTGTACATTGGGAACTTGGACAGCAGTGGCCGACTCCACAGCATCCCCGGGTGTCTCCGAGCACCTCTTCAGGTTGCAGTACTCCCACCTGACACTGGGGTCAGTGGTGTAACACCAGGGGCTCTTATCAGCATCTGGATTCCTGCAGTAGTTCATTGTCAAGCCACTGCAAATCCCAAAACAATGAAGTCACCAGGGTGGGAGAATTCTGCTCCCGCTGAATTTTACTATAACAAAGTGTCAACAAGTGACTTTGAAATATCCCCATTAAAGGTGATCATCATGATAGAGCCACAAACACAAATGGCCCTTTTAACCAAAAGTCATATATGCTCCATGTAAAAGCTGAGATAACACAGAAATACATACGACAAAATATCATGATATTCTTCTCACACATTCTGCCAAATACACTGCCCAGGGATAGCCGATAGAGATTTTGAAGGATAATTTTAATTTTTTTAAGCATATGCAAATCTTTATCTATCTCCCTCTATAGATGAATTCATAGGAAAATGTAAATTGGAAAGAAAACATATCACCCAAGGAAGCAAGGATCTATATATAATGATAATATTCCCAGGCCAGCTCTCTTAGCTTATTTACTGACAATGTAGTTCAACTGTACTTTTGCCATAAAAGAAAGTTGAGGAGATAATGTCACTTTAGGTAGACCAATGGGTCTGGGTTCCAAAGCCTTATGAAAACTGGCCTGGAAAAACAATTCTCAGACCTGAGGTCATTTTTGTAGGATGCCTTCATGAACAGGAATCCTCTCCTGCTCTTGGCCCATCCTCTGCTAGCTGCAGCCACTTGGGGACTGAGGGATGAGATTAATAAGCAGACTAAAGGGTTAAGGGAAGATATCTGGGGAAAACAGGGACCCTGAGGAGTCGTACAGGAGTAGCCATAAAAAAAACTGAATAAGAGACATAGCAGGTGAGGGTCCCAGAGAGCACTGGAGGAGACAGCCCCCTGAGAACATTGCCCCAACCTTCCAGCATCCTCATCCCTGGGGTCCCTTACGGTTCAGATGCATGACCTGCAGCAGTGTGAGGAAACTTAGAAAGTGCTACAGGAATCCACCTTTAGGCAAGTGACACGGTCTCCTGCCCAGGCCCCACCGGAGGACGCCAGTCACTGGGATGTGTCAAGGCAATACAAACAGAGTCCTGCTCTTTCCCTTAGTTGTGGCTTACTTTACATCTAGCGAAAGACAAACGTGCAAAATGGAGTTTGATGAGCTTTGAGAACACAGGTACCTGTGCAACCCACGTTCTACCATGACACAGGACATTTTCTCACCTAGAAGCTCCAGGGGGCCACAGCTCAATCTCTGTCACCCTCTTCCGAAGGCAAATGCTATTGGTTTCCTCCCACCATTAAGTTTTGCCTCACATAAATGGACTCCTACAGAATACGTACTTTTGTATTTGGCTTCTTGCCTTAGTATAATATTTTTGAGCTCCATCCATGCTCCTTGAGAGTGCCAGTAGCTGCTGCTTTTTCATTACTGCATAGGGCCCCATTGTTTGAATAAACCACAAATTATTGATTCTGTTTTTTATTGGTGAACATTGCAGTTGCTTACAGTTTGGAGTTATTGTAAATTAAGCTGATACGAATATTCTTGTAGCTCTCTTTGTGGACTTACATTTTCATTTCCCTAGGGTAATATTTAAGAAACAGAATTGCAAGTGTGTGGGTAGGTGCATGTCAATTTAACTTTAGGAGAAGCCATCAGATTGATTTTTCAAAGAGGCCAGTGTATATAACAGCTGTACATTCTTACTCCACACCCTTGACACTCCTCAGCTATTGTCTGGCTTTTTGTTAATTGTCATTTCCATTGGGTGTTTGGTAGTATCTCGTTAAGGTTATAATTCTAATTTATTTGATGGTGTAGATGTTGGATATTCTTTCTCAGGTACTTATTGGTCATTAGCTGGAAGTTTTGGGTAGATGCCCCTAATCATGTTTTTAAAGTTTCTTTCTACTCCTAGTTTGCTGAGACTTTTTGTCCTGGAAGGTGTTGGATTTTGTCAAATTTTCTTTGGCATCTATTGATATAATCACATGATCTGCACTTTTATTCTGTTAACATGTTGGATGATATTGGTGTTTTTAAAAGAGGTTAACCAACTTTGCATTCTTGAAGGGCAGTTTCATTTGTTTATGATGTTTATCATGTTCATGATAAAGATGATTTCTATATATTGCTGGATTCAATTGTTAAGTTTTTTTTATATTTATGTTCACAATAGATAATTTTTGTATATTTTCTTGCAAAAAAAAAAATCCTGGTCTACTTTCTGTATCTGGGTTTTTTCTTTTTCTGGCCTCACAAATTGAGTTGAAAAATATGCCCTCTTTTATTTTTATACGACATAAGTGTGGAGGATCCAATTCAGCTCTCATTGTTTGTGATATATGCTATAAAAATTTACTGCATTGAAACTAAAACTGAGGATTGCTTAAAGCAAGAATAAAGAAGCACACCTCCCAATAGCCCTCAAACAGTGTCACCGCATATTATGCAGCTTCTGTAGACACATGAGGAGGGAAAATGAAGCCATCTTTAACACATTGACTGCTTTAACCTCATAGACTCTCTAGAGGGAGCCCTGAAATCCCCAGGGTTTTTCAAACCACACTTGGAGAACTGTTGGCTTAAATCATTGATTCTTAAATGTTTCTGTTTTCTAAAAAGAGCATTTAAAATTATAAAACCCTAAAAACACTGTCTGTATTCCACACCTTTAGATGTATTTTTCTTACTATTGTTCAGTTCAAAACATTTCTAAAATAATTTGTGATTTCTTCTTTGACTCTTAAATTATTTTCAAATATATTCCAAATATTGGGAATTTCCCAAATGCTTTGTTACTTATATAATAAAAGCATTCATTGACTTCTTCAGTGGTAGAAAACACACTGTATAATTTTAACCCTTTTAAATTTATGGGCCAAGCACGTGGGGCTTGTTGGTGAGCGCTATATGCACACTCAAACACAAATCTGTAGTTCACCTTAGGGCTAAAGAGGTTGTTTTACTTTGAAATTTCTATATCCTTTCTGATTTTTTCCCTTGTTCTATATTTTGTTTGGCGAGGATTTAAAACCATCCTATAGAGAAGCAAGGAAACGTCCACCTCTACTTGTGGGCTTGCCTGCTTCTCCCCCTGTGGTCAGTTTCTGCATCATGTCCCTGAAGCTCTGTACCAGGATACAACACGCAAGCAGTGGTAAGTCTTGAGTCTTGATGAATGAACACTTTTTTTCTTAGGGAAATGTCCTTTATATCTCTGGTATTAATTCATGCCTTGAAAGCTACGTGTCTAATGTTGACAAAACCACTCCAGCTGTTTTTTGATTCATGTTTTCCTGGTATGTTATTTTACCTACTTTAGTTTTTAACCAATGTTCTTATATTTAAAGACCCACTATTGTAAGGAAAACATAACCGGGCTTTGGCTTTCATTCATCGTGGCAATCTATGCCTTTTAATTGAGATGTTTAATACTTTTACTTTAATATCTTTATGGTGTGGCTCAGTGTAAGTCTATCCCAGCACAAGGGATGCTCTGCTTATACCACATGCGGCCGTTGTTCTTTCCCCAGTTACTGTTCTTTGTACACCTTCCTTTCTAGACTCTCTCCCTGTGCATGTGTGGCCTTGTGTTTAGCCAGAGACTTGAGGAGACCTCTATGCATGTTGCTGGAACTCCTCTCCCCAGGGTCTTTCTCAAGATTACACAACAGAAAAATCCTAGCTGCCTCAGTAATGCCAAACTCCGGCCTCTCTCCTTAGTTCAGCAAGATGTCTATGGTCTGCTTTGGCTCCATCTCCTAACATTCAGTGCAGGAACTGCCTCCAAGAGGAAAGACAGGGAATCGGGTCGGTCTTTCATTCTAAAAGATCTCAGTCTTGTGCTTATCGTCCATCAAGGGAAAACAGCTTTTTGCACACAGGTTAAGGCCACTATGGTAGAAAGGTTGCTCTGGTCAGTCTAGCCTTGTGTCCATCTGCCTGCCCACTTCACTTTCAGCATCTGTGTGCTTCCTGACCCTCATCTGCCTTCCTGCTTCTGCTCTTCTGACAAACCCCAGCCCTTTAGACCAGTAGCGCACAGGACCCAAGGTGCCTATGCAGGGAAGATTAGATATAGGTGTGGGTATAAATACAGAGGGTGACTTGTGACCCAAGACACAGCGGCAGACACAAACTTCACTTCATTGGTTTGAGTTTGGAGTGATAAAATTCCAGAGCTGAAAGACTGCACTGATATTAGCAGGTGCTGGGCAATGGTGCTATTTCTAAGATTTTGGTAATTTGTTCTCCTGAGCTTTCCACTGGTGTGAGCTCACCACCTCCACATAACCCTGCTGCCTCACAAAATTACTCAAGAAAGACAGTCAGCCTGCCTATAACCTCTCCCAGACCTTTTGCTCTAAAGCAAGTGTCCTGGATGATTTGCCTCCCATTCTGACCTAGGAGATTTGGTCCTAAGAAGTCAGCTTACAGCACAGGTCGTCGAATAGAAAATTAAGTTGGCTATTGCTCCATGGGTGGTTTAAAATCAAGGACCTACGCATTTGGGAATTTTTCCGGGGTCTTCTCATGTGCGTGTGGCGTCATTGATGACCAGGACTGACATTTCTTTCCTGTGATAGTGGTGGACGATGTGCCTCGATAACTCTGTCCATTGCCCTGGTAGCAATCCTGGACCACAGGGGTTTGCTCAGGTGGTGCTAACGCTGAAAAAGAAGAAATCACGCTGAGTAACGACCGAGAGACAGGTAAAGCCCTTTGTGACACGAAAGTGCACTGTTCTCTTGTCCATATGAGCAGGCCTGTGGACAAGCAAACACACACACACACACACACACACATACATACACACACACAATAAATTCATAGCATTCTAGAACTTATGACCTACTTTTCTTGGAATATTTTACTTAAAACCCAGAGGGGGGGGGGGGGGGGGACTTTAGAGTATTTATAGCTGGAAACTGCAATCCTGTGCAAGCTCTTCTTTACGGATCTCTAGTGGGTTCTCATGAGAACAGTAGAGCAGGACCCCAGAGGGAAATGCTTTCAGTGGTGCAGACAGCAGGGGTGACTGTCAGTGGTGGACAGATAGGAGACTCATGTATTTCTCCAGACCCTGTGCTCATACTGGCCAAAGCCTCAAGCTTCTAGGGGTTGGGGCAGGCAATGGGCCTGCACCCAAGGCTCTAGGCAGAGGTCCACGGCCTCTCAGAGATGACCACATCTGGAAACTATCAGACTGGAAATGTGAAAGAACCATGATCAATATGTTAAAGGATTTTCTGATAAAGGTAGGCAATGTGCATGGATAGATGGAGAACTTCAGCAAGGAGGAGGAAACAAGAAAAACGTAAAATGGAAATGAGCGGAACAGAAATTGTGACTTAAGAGGAGAAGAATTCCTTCAAAGCGCTGATCAGCAGGCAAGACACAACTAAAGAAACAGTGAAGTTGAAAGTGAATTACAAGAAGTTTTCCAAACTGATGTACAAAGAAAAAAAGAGTTAGATGAAAAACAGAAAAAGTAGAACAAACAGACGAGAAGTATGACTATAAATAAAACACACTGATCATTGGTAAAATCCAAAAAAAAATAGCATCAATGTAATGTGAGATTGTAACATAGCAGAATTCCGTTCTCTTTACCAGCCATTCTCTCTACTAGCTCAACATTCCTGAGAGAGGAAGAGAAGTACAATTTTTTAAGGTTCTTTTGTATCAACAAAGATAATGTTGTTTGAAGGTGGAACATAATAAGTTAAAGATGTATGTTGTAAACATTAAGGAAAATGCCAAAATCATTAAAAATTGATTTAACTAATAAGTAAATAGCGGAGATAAAAGGTAATCATAAAATAGTCATTCCACATGAAGGGGGGGGGGGAGATGCAAAAAGAAACAAAGTCCAAATAGAACAAAGAGAAACAATTGACTTGATGGTAGATTTAAATCCAACCATTTTAACAATTACATTAATAAAAATGATCTAAACATCTCCATTAAAAAGCTAAAAATGTGGGCTGGGGTTGTGGCGAGTGGTAGAGCACTCGCCTAGTACATGCAAGGTCCTGGGTTCGACCCTCAGCACCACATAAAAATAAATAAAGGTATTGTGTCCAACTACAACTAAAATTTTTTTTAAAAAAAGATACACAAACACTAGTAAAAACATATTCAATGGCTGTTTTCATAACAGCAAAAACAGACTTCAGGACAGGAATATTTTCTGAGATGAAGACAAACATAACATCATAACAAAGGGGTCATCTCATCTAGAAGACTCAAGTGTCTTAAACATGTATGTGACTAACAACAGAGTTTCTAAACAAATAAAGCAAACAGAGTTAGAACTGAAAGGAAAAATTGACACATCTACAGTAAGGTTGGACCTGTCACCATTCATCCCTCAGTGATCAAAGTAGGTGACAGGAAATCAGTCGGAACACGGGACAACAGTTATCAGTCAGTTTTATCTAATTGGCCTTTAGAGAAACTCTACCCAATAACAAAGTCACATCCAAGAACACATGGAAAATGATTATGTTTTGAACCATAAAACAAACTTCAACCGATTTAAAATATTGTAACTGAAATCACAGAGCACGGTCCCTGACCACAAAGCCACTGTATTCTGACACCCCGCGGGGTGCAGACGCTGGAGCGTCCTTGGGCTCTATAAAGCCTCTTACCTGGGACATCCAGAGAGTCCGTGGAGGTCGGAGAATTCCCACAGGATGGTATGGTACAGTATTCCCACCTCACATTGCTGTTGGTTGTGTAGCACCAGGGGGTGGTCTCTCCATCAGGATTCCGACAGTAGTTCTCATCCAAACCTCTGAAAGAGGAGTTTGGCTCTTCAAAAAGTGTAAATAAATAAGGTGCACACATGCCTGTTGATGCTGATTTTGGATATGGATGCATCTAAAGCTGTGGGATCACACACATGGAATAACAGGTGCCCCAAAGAAGCTTGAGCAGAGCAGGATTCCACAGGATTCCACAGAAGCAAGCCATAGACGCTTCTTTTGGGTAAACAGTTGAAGTACATTTCTTGACTTTGTATGAACAAGTAAAATACAAATGCATGGCTGGGCTCCACTCCCAGAGTTTCTGATTTACTAGGTCTGGAGTAAGTCCCAAGAATTTGCACTTTTAGCAAATTCCTGGTAATGCTGAGGCTGCTGGTCTGGGGACCACACTTTGAGAAAAATTCTCATAGGAAAAAGACAGTTGCTGAATTTCACTTCCCCTGCACATGCCTGATCCGTTTTCATTCCTGAATACTTTAATCCTGCATTCCTCTAGTAACTGAAGTGAAGGCAGAGCCGATGGGACCTCACAGTCCCTAAAGGGAAGGGCATCAGGGGACATACTTGCAGGGAAAGTTTTCTGGAGTCCTGTTGTGCTGGTGAGGGGTCTGCTCACTCCAGCGCTGACAGGTGTGCCCGGATGCGGTCACGGCCACCTTCCCGCGGTAGTTTTCACCTCTTCCCTTCAGACACTGGTAGGTTGGACCAGAAGAGGGCGGGGGTGTTGCTTGAATGGAGAAAATAAACTACGATGAATATTTTTCAAATAAAGAATGCTCAGATGGGTGTCCCTGGAGGGAACTGCAGGGCACTCAGCCTCTTTTGCCAACCTCTGTCTAGGAATTTGGCATTTAAAAACTGCTTAGCGTTTCCAGAAGTCCATCTAGAAGCATCTATGTCTGTGAGACCATTTCATGAGGAGCTTCTGTAGAATCAACCCTGGGGGTCGATGCTTCTCTCTAGAGTCTCCTGGCTCGTTTCATCACACATGGTAAATATCAGCAAGTGTGCCATCCCACCTTAAATCCATACATGTGCCAATGACCCACGTTTTCCTGTCCAAGACTTTGTGATCACTGAGGGAACACAGCCTGATATTCCATAAAAGACACAGCTGAGTCAGAGTTGACGGGAAGGAAGGCAAAAAATGTCTTCAAGGAAAATTATGTGCACCAGAAATCAAGATATTCTTGATGGGAAAAAAAATCAAGAGAACCTGATTCTCATGAAGAGGGAGAACACCCAAGGAGCCCCTGCATCCCAAAGGACCCCTGTCAGAGCCGAGGAGGGAAGCTGGCCCTGGCTGGGTCCTTTCCAACCATCAGTGCCGGTCTCTGACTAAATGTTCAGCTCTTGTTTTGAATCCTCTTTTCCCCCATTTCACGTCTACTAGGTCTTCCACTTCATCTTCTCCTCCTGAGCCCCTTTGCCACTGTGCCCTGTTGGGCATGCTAAAAACTGGGTACCCAGAGTCACCCCCTTGATGACAAAGCCACAGTTAGAGGAACTCTGCCTGATAATGTATTCCACAAAACAGAGCATGCCTCTGGTCTCCCTTTAGCGCAGGGAAGTGGGACACCAGAGCTGCCCCCAAGAGCCTACCTCTAAACATTCTCGCAAGAGGCACAAGTCTCTGATAGGGGAAAACAGACAACATGATAAAGGATGTTCTCATCAATTACCTACAGGACCAATACATGGTCTTAAAAGATCAATAAGATACAGAGCAATAGTATGGCATACGATTTGCAGGTCACTTCTTAGACCCTGCAGTAAGGAACCAACACACGTTCCCTCTTGATTCTAAGAGCAGATCGGGTCAGAACCCTGGAGCATGGGACATGAGTCACACTTACTGCAACGGGGAATGTTGTTAGGAAAGGGACCTTATGAGGATCAGCAGCAACAAATTGCATATGATCCTGGCGTATACGCACAAATTGCTGTAGAGGCAGTTAGGGCATGGAAGACTTTACAAGGACATGGAGGTTTACAAGGTCAATTATCTAAGGTAATACAAGGAGCTAATGAATCTTGTTGGGTTGTATTATAGTAGAAATACAGGATCAGAAATTAGTAAAAAACAAACTGAAAGAGTGTTAAGTAAATTGTTAGAGGAAGGAGGCATCTCAGTAAAATCAAGAACAGTCAGGGCATACGTTGATACAATACAAAAATGTAGCCCATGGCTTTTTAAGGAGGAGTTGTTAAATATATCACAATGGAACCATCATGGTGAAGATTTAAAAAGAATAGAAAAGAACAGCCCAGGGACTCTGCCAGTTGGCACATTGCCATTGTGGACGTTCGTATCTGGTTTGCTTAGTCCAAAGCCTTCAGTTCAGACAAAGATAGAGGAAGAAAGCTTAGAGCAGAAAAAGCCATCGGGGGAAAGTTACAAAAGGAGACTGCTACTAAACTTTCTATCACCAGAGGGCGTAAGTGTCCAACCAACAGCGCCACCTCTACAGGAGACTGCTACTAACACCTTTCTATCACCAGAGGATGTAAATGTCCAACTAACAAGGCCACCTCCATATGCTGGGAGGCCCCCAACCCCCGCAGTTGATAGTTCAGATCCTGAGACAGGATCTCAAGTATTAACATGCCCTGTATTTGAGGTAGGAGGGCAGCAAATTCACCATGCTTTAAATTTCAAAATAGTGAAGCAGCTAAAAGAGGCTGTAACAACCTATGGTCCTCAAGCACCCTTCACTGTAAGCTTGGTCGAATCCATTAACAACTTGAACATGACGCCAGCAGATTGGGCTAATATGTGTAAAGCTGTGCTAAATGGAGGTCAATACCTGTTATGGAAGGTTGCCAATGAGGAATTTTGCAAGGAGACGGCTAGGCGAAATGCAGCAGCTGGTTATCCTCAGAGAAATCTAGATATGTTGTTAGGAAAGGGACCTTATGAGGATCAGCAGCAACAAATTGCATATGATCCTGGCGTATACGCACAAATTGCTGTAGAGGCGGTTAGGGCATGGAAGACTTTACAAGGACATGGAGGTTTACAAGGTCAATTATCTAAGGTAATACAAGGAGCTAATGAATCTTACGCTGAATTTGTAGATAGGCTTATTCAAACAGCTACCAGAGTTTTTGGGAATACAGAACAAGCAATGCCATTACTAAAACACCTGGCTTATGACCAAGCGAATCGTTGGTGCAGAGATATCATTAGACCATGGAAACATGAAGATTTAAACACATGTATTAAATTATGTAGAGACATTAATGAACAAGAGCAAGTCATGGCAGCTGCAGTAAAACAGGCTTTAGATGCCAGAGACATTAATGAACAAGGGCAAATTGTGGCAGCTGCAGTAAAACAGGCTTTAGATGCCAGGCCAAGAACATGCTACAATTGTGAACAAACAGGACATTTTAAATGGAATTGCCCCATAGGAGGAGGGTTTAACCAAACTAGGTATCAAAGGAGTAGAATACCGGGTATTTGCCCACGATGCCGTAGAGGGAGACATTGGGCTAATGAATGCCGTTCTCAAACCACCATAGAGGGTACTCCATTATCAAAAAACGAACAAGGATCAGGTGTTTATCCACGATATCTTGGAGAAAGGCATAGGGCTCCATTGCCAAAAAATGGACAGGGGGGCCCAATGCTCCGGGGCCCAAAACCACAAATATACAGAGTACTGGAGGAACCCAGCAACCCCATCAGGGTAGTGCCCAGGACACATTGTCCATCAGATCCCTCATCAGACAAACCAGAGGGAGCGCAGGGTTGGACATCTGCGCATCCGCCAAAGCAGTACTAACTCCAGAGATGGGAGTTCAAATCATTCCCACAGGGTTAAAAGGACCTCTTCCCAAAGGAGCGGTAGGCTTGTTATTGGGACGCAGCTCTTCTACTCTAAAAGGACTTATGATAAGTCCTGGGGTAATTGATCCCGATTATGAAGGTGAAATAAAAATTATAGCCAGTTCTCCAAAGGGTATATCAGTAATTTCACCAGGAGATAGAATAGCACAGTTACTAATAATACCCAGCCTACATGATAAATTTTCCAGTCGTGCTGTAGAAAGAGTTTCCAAGGGATTAGGCTCCACAGGTGTAGATTGGGCTATGCTGTCTTTAAATTCAGATTCTCGCCCAATGCTAAAACTAAATATTCAAGGACATGAATTTAATGGGCTACTGGATACAGGTGCAGATCTTAGCATCATCTCTGGTCAAAAATGGCCAAAACATTGGCCATTACAACAAGCCACTCAAACGCTTCGAGGCCTAGGAGTGGCTACTAATCCCCATAGAAGTGCAATGATATTAGATTGGAAGGATCCTGAAGGATGTGAAGGAACTATACAGCCATATGTATTGGATCATCTTCCCGTAAATTTATGGGGACGAGATGTCCTAGATCAATTAGGTTTGACATTAACAAATAACAACAACCAAAATGCACCCACTATTATGACTAGACAAGGTTTTAGGAAAGGAAAAAGATTAGAAAAACAAGAACAAGGTATAACAGCACCAATACAAATAGATCAAGGAATAGACAGACATGGGTTGGATTTTCAGAAAGGGCCACTGAGATAATAAAAATTACTTGGAAATCAGAAAGACCAGTATGGGTTCCTCAGTGGCCCTGACTAAAGAAAAGATACAAGCAGCCCATGACCTGGTCAAACAACAATTAGCGGAAGGACATATACAACCTTCTGTATCTCCCCATAATACTCCCATTTTTGTCATCAAAAAGAAATCTGGTAAATGGAGATTATTGCAAGATTTAAGAGCCATTAATAATGAGATGGTTATTATGGGACCTGCTCAATCGGGGATTCCTCAATTGTCTGTTTTGCCAAAAACTTGGTATGTTTTAGTTACAGATATTAAAGATTGTTTTTTTTCAATTCCAATTCATCCTGAGGATAGTCCATGAACCCTGGAGCATGGGACATGAGTCACACTTACTGCAACGGGGAATGTTACAGAGCTCCCAGCGTTTGTTGGGGTCGGTGGTAAAACACCACGGGCGGGGCTCCCCATCAGGGTTTCGACAGTAGTTCATCTTCAAGTTCTTATTTGGAAATCTGAATGGACAAAAAGAATTTTTTAAAAATTGTATTGGTACAAAAAGCATTCTAATAGCACTGAACATCTGCATTCATGGATGAGAATCTTTGAAGGTCAGCAGGTATGGTAGCACCTAAAGTGTGCAAGGCACAGTCAGGCACCCAAGAGGTAAATGAACAAAGGCTACACTTGATAAGATGGTAATCTAGGAAGAAACATTAGCTGGGCATTACAGGTATTATTTTTCTAATGATTTACATGGTTAAAAACCACTGAACAAGATCAGTAACCTTATCAATTTGGCCATCTGGAAAAATTGATATAAGCAAACGCTGGTTACTCTGCTACAAATAATAGCAATGTTTAAAACACAAATTGCTCACTACCTAGAGATAGTGATCTGGTACAGCCAGTAAGTTGACATATTCAGATCTTAAAGACAGAGACTGGATCAGCTAGCTACAGCGGGAGGTGTTTTCCAGGGTAATTAGTGTGAAATAGAATCCTCACAGAACCTTACTCCTGAGATCATCATTAGTTTCTGGATTAGGGACTCCCATTCACATTTAAAATTCATAGTTGCCTTTGAGAATTTGGTGGAAGCTGTGAATTCTTGCCCCCCAAAATGCACCAACATAAATACACACAAGATATCAGGGGATTCACAAGACCCCTGAGGTATACTCACAGACCCTCGGTGAGGAATCTTGCTGGTATAAAGTGAAGGAAACGGAAGAAGAAAGAGAAGAGGGAAATACTTGGGAAACACACACAAGAAGTACAGATGTATCTGTACTTCTCAAATTTTAATGTACGTACGAATCAGCAGCAAATCTGGTTATAATACAAATTTGATTCAGAGGGTCTGAGATTCTGCATTTCTAACAACTAAAGATAAGAAGAATGTGGCAGGATGCCAGCTCTGAATCCACAACCATCCGGAGACAGGCAAAGACATCCAAGTAACTACAGAGACTGCAGAGTCTTGATCAGTGGGACTTACTTGGAAGGGATGTATCCGTGAGCGTGTGGAGTCTGTGAGTCCCAGGCCTGGCATTCAATTCCAGACATGGTCTTGGAAATTTTGCCCTCGTAATGTTCTCCGCTGCAGTGCATGCATTCCTCTGAGCAGCATGGGGAAGGAGGGAAGAAACAAAAAAAAGAAACTGAAATGGAGCAAAATAAACAGAAGGACTAGAATCCCTCTAGAAACGTCCCCCATGGGACTGGCCATGCTCCCACATGGTTTCCAAGAATCACTAGGAAGCAACATTGGCTCAAGACTCAGAATGTTCTAACACAATCCAAAATGTCATTCTCTTTTTCAAATGGTTTATTTAGGCTATTTTGGTCAATGCCACCTCAACTAATCGTCATGACCCAATTCAGAAGCTCCTGAATGCCTTGTCCTTGTACTGAGAGGCCCAGATCCCAGGCAGGGAGGGGAGGGTGCCCATGATCCCAGAAGTCTGTAAGTTATCTTCCACGATTTTCTTTTCTTTCTTTTTTTGAGACAGGATCTCAACTGAGTCGCCTAGCCTGGTCTCACCCTCGCCAGCTCCTGCACAGCCTCAGGAGTAGCGAGATTGACCGGATGCCCCCCTGCACCTGGTTGCATGACACTTTTAAATACTGGGCATCTTCGTTTCAATAATGATCTTTAGAAACTCTATGAAATTATTCAGATCTGCCAAATACATTAGAACCATATCTGTTAGGGTTTCTTGCTGGAGCCTGTGCCTATGACCTCGCTGTAGAGCAGCATTCTCTTTTCATATTGTCGAGAAGCATGACTGGGCTGGGGGTTTTTTTGTTTTTTGTTTTTTGTTTTTGCTTCCTAACTTATTTTAAAACTGAGTCTTTAATTTGGAATTATTGAATATTTGGAAATATTGAATTATTCACATGGTGGGGCAGAGTAATATACAACTGTGACTTTTAAGGGTCATAAAATAGATGCAGACTTGACATAAAAATCATGCATTTGTTGTACTAAAGTTCAAATGACTGATGATATAGTGTCCAAATAAAGGTTCCCCATGGCTCAAATCAATAAAGGAAATGAGCTGAGGTGTCACATGATACAATATCTGCATGGTTGTATGAATCCCAGTTGGCTCTATTTCCCTCCCTCCAATATATACACCTGGAAACGTGAAATAAAATTGTTTCCAGTCTGTTTCCATGTGTTATCATTGACCTTTGAAGCACACTTAAATAGATTGGCTCACTAAAATAAGGGATTGTTGACCCCCAAACTGGTTCATTGCTTAGCTTCAACAAAACAGTAAAATCTCTCACATTAAATTAATATTGCTTACATGAATGTCATTGATTTTGTGGTTTTAATTTAGTATTTAATTGGGAATCTGCTTGGAGTGTTATACTGTGTTAAGAGTTTTAAGCATAAGACTTACAGAATTTACAACTAGTTTTAAATTTGTGCATGTCGAAGTAGCATCTGAATAAAAAGAATCCATGATAACACGGGGGTTGTGCTCCTTCCCTACAGGTGAATGCATGACTAATTGCAGCACTGATTGATTATTAATAATACCCCCGTGGGAAGTGGCTTCACAGCAAATTACTTGGCCAGTGAAGAGCAGGCATTTTCTAGCGCCATTTCTAACCTTCACATTCGGGAATGTCGCAGTACTCGTATCTCTTCTCTGGGTCCACAGTGTAACACCAGGGCCCCTTCTCGTCGTTGTCTGGGTTGCGACAGTAGTTCTCCTCCAGGCCCTCTCTGGGGAACTTGTCAGGGGAATAGCTGTGGAGGACAGAAAAGGAGAACTTGGCTGATATTCAGAGAGGCAGCATGCGGAGGGCAAGTCGGCAGGATGCTGTGTGTGTCCCCACTCGGGCCTGAGCGCCTGTTATCCCAATGCACTGGGGCCAGCAACTGTCGCCCCTGAGCTGTCCATTTGCATATCTCAGTTGACACTGTTCCGGGTACAGTGGCTCATGCTGCACGGCTCACACTGACGGCCGAGTCTTAGAGGCAGGCTGGATTCCTACCTCAGCCAGTAGGAAGACAGAGGCCTCCGTTCATTTTTAAAACCTGCTTTCAATAGTGGCCCTTCTCTCCAAAAAATATCACAAAGGCGGACACCATTCTGGCCCTGTGAACTTCGCACCCAGGATTACATTAGAATCTTTCTATACATTCTCTCACTTACACTTAACAAAAAACCCACCAGGAGAGTGTACCCCTGCCTCATAGTCAACGTCCATGTGAAGCAAAACAGAGCATGCTAGGTCCTAACAACCCAGGAGCAGGCCAAGACTCTCAAGTCTGATTCCACCGGCTGAGTTGTGTTTGGATGGGGCTGGGAGAAGGGGTTAGGCTCATTTTCTGCTACAGAGGAATTGCCATGTAGAGATAAGAAATTAGATAAAAAGCACAAGAACTTGGAGCCCAAAAAGGCAGTTTCTGATTCAGGTTCTTTGGGGGCCCTGTTTCAGGTAATCCCCACCTTCTCTGGGCCTCAGCTAGATGATCGGGGTAATCTACCTGGCAACCTATGATCTGGACATCGGGTTGAATTTTTTACTTTATCTAATGGGAACACGCCATCTGCCCATCTCCAGGGGTCCTTCTTTTGGGGTGAGAGGCAGAGTCGTAGACACTAACTTCCTTTTTGATAAGCTTCGTGGCAGAAAACGTATTGCCACCTGACACCAAACTGGGAAAATTGCAAGCAGAGTGACATCAAATAGTAGGCATGTTGCAAGATTTGCATTTCATTCTTGTGTCTTCTGAACTGTTGGCTCCACCATTATGAGGGGGGCTGTGGTGTGAGTTCTAGCTCAGCGTGTTTGATTGACACATCCAGTCCTGAACATCACTGTATTTGCCTTTTTTCTCAGCCTCAACCTCAAGTTCATAGTTCTGGTCTTCTTTTGACTGGGCTTCCTTCTGTGTTTTAGTTATTCCAAAAAATAATATGAGTAAACAGAAAGCAACCACTTTGGCTTTTGTGCTATAAGAAATTGAACTGTCCTGTATCTACATCTCAGAGGCTCTCTCTGCTCGCCCACATACTCTGGTTTGAGTTGGAAGTGATGGGATTATCTGAACACCGAGGGTGAACACAAAGGCAAAGGAGAAAGACTTACTTTGGCTTGTGGGGGTAGCTGGCACTCCACCTTTGACAGACTGTGCCACTCTTCGTCTTGGACACCGTCCCCCTGTAGGTCTTCCCATTTCCAGTCTTGCACTCTGAAAGATAGACTGAAATATGTCCACACTGTGGTCAAAAAAACCAAGCAAGAAACCCCAGGAGCAAGGTCTGCACACACAGTCCCAACCAGAGAATCTGCTCCCAGCGCAGAGCCGCTTCCTGCTCAACAAAGTCACATGCACCAGGAAGGGCACCATAAGCTGAGGCTTCTCCTCCTTAGATTCCTTCATTTGAAAGCTCTGTCCTGAGCCCCTGCATGTACCGGGCACCATGATGGGGCTGGAACACATACAATAAATACAGAACAGGCGAAGGCTCTGCCCCCAGGGGCTCACACTCCAGTGGAGTTGGAATGGAAAGGAACCACTGGGCCTTTTGAAATGAGCTAACTTCACAATGAGAGGCACTACAGAGAAAATAAACTGCGGGGTGAGTCAGAACTGAAGGACAAGGAGGGGCTTTTTAGATGGCAGGTGGGGGCAGGCTTTTCAGAGGCCAAAAGAGATCCGATCCACTTCTGTTTTTTCAGGTTCCTGGTAATTAAAAAAAATGCCGAACGGGGGTTCTAGAAATGTGTCTGATTTAAATGTTCACAGCAAATATTCTCAACCAACCTGCACTTACTCAGCTCACCAGTTAATCAATGGGTTTCATCCTGTCTTTGAAATAGCCTGAGACCCACCTGTGGCCCACAGTGGCAGGATGGTCCCCTTTCTAGTGTGCCACCCACCTCCGTCACCATGAGGTGGGTCTTAGGTCCCAAGTGTCATTAGTTTATATTGCCCAGCTCTCCTGTACAGTTACACTAACCGGATGGAGGTGACAAGGTCCAGGGGCCGGACTTCACGTTTTGAATGACAGAAATAAGCAGCAGTCCTTACGTAACATGGACTTGCCTAGTGCAAGGTCTGCTGCATTCTGGAACAGTCCGGGGTTTGTGCTAAGTGCCCTAGGAAGGGTTTAAGGGAGAAAAGGTGCATTTCTAAAAGATCACTTGTGCAGCTATGAGAAGGGGAACCAGTGACTGCAGTGACCTGGCCAGACATGACAGTGGCTTGGCTCTGAGGGTGGGCCTGGAGATGGCGGCAAGTGGCAGGGATCTAACATGGATCGTTCCCAGCGGAAACCCCTGGATGGTAGGTTAGCAGCGGATCCATATTCCACAGTAAAGAAACAAGGATCAAAAATGACTGACTTTTGACTTTTCGCCTCGTTCTTGTTTGTATGTCCTCACCAGAGTTTATATAACCTTTTGCTCTCTTTAAAACAAGCAAACCAAGCCTTCAAACTTCAGACTTCAGACCAAGCCTGACAGGCACCCCCAGGTTCCTTCTGGTTAACAATTTACAAATGACATATTTAAATTTTAACATTTTGTGGGGAGAACTGCCACCCCCACTTCTTTTTAATCTGATGGATAGTAGGTGATCCTATTTACCTCATCCTTTACTCACTATTTGTAAGAACTAATAACTATAACAGATAAGGATTAGGGTTAATAATCTGGTCTCAAGAATTAAAGATAGAGTAAGGAAGAGAGGTCAAGAGGCTACAACCAAGCAAACCTAGAAACTGAAGGAGATAAAGCAATAACCCTAACCTAGAGGAATACTTTTAAAAATCTTATGGTTTGTGGTGATACTAGAAACAATGTTTCAAGTCACTGTCAAGAACACAAGAAATCTGATATATCTTATATTCTGTAGTATCTGTGTTACAGAATATTTGGAGAGCTGAATTGTAACTAATGGTTGCGGTGCCTGGCCAGCACCACAGTACAGGAGAGAGTTATTAAGTGTCATCTTTCATTTAAATCTTCATTGAATCAATGGGTTTCTTAAGTGCTACAAAGAATGGCATCTTTGCATCCCTAAAAAGATGTGCAATTTCCCCCAGAATCCAGGCCACCTCTCCTACTAAACTATGGGACTATTGATCTGCATTTTAAAAGGAACTGCGATTTTTGCACACTTTCAAAAGACAATTTTGAGCCTGAAGAAAATATAGACCATGACAAAAAAAAAAAAAGTGGAAAAAAATTTAATGAGTATTTTTGTCCCTAGCCAAATGTTATCAAGATTGAGAGTATCTCATATTTCCATTGTCCCAGGCCGTCATTCAGAAGCTGGAGCCCAAGGACCACAGTCTCCCTGCAGAACTAGTAGCCAAGGTCATGAGGAACTTTTAAGTCCCCGTCTCTCTTTATAAATAATTTTTAAAAAAAAAAAAAAAGATTCTGAATTTATTTTTATGGCCACAGAGATAGAAGTGATTTTGTAAATCCAATCCTTTCATTTTTTACATAAGAAAAATGATACCAAAGAGGTGAAGTCACATGTTCAAGTTGACAGAGCTGTTCAGGGACGGAATCCTGTCCTAACTCAGAATTCAGTTTCTCCACTCTGGCTCGTCAGTGAAGGATATGAAAGGGGAGGAGAGAGGGGAAGGGAAAAGTACCCACTTTTCTTCTCAAATAAAACGACGTCTCTCATCCTGATGACAGGGGAGGACTTGCTGTTCTCAGCCATGATCACACACTGCTGCTCTTTGCTGTGATACTGGAATGACCTGTGGAGGAGGAGGAGGGAATACTGGAAAAATCTCCTTGATTCTGGGAATACTAGAACTTCTCCGTTTATTCATAAGTAAGACACTTGAGCAGTCATCGAATGCCTTTTAGGAGCGGGGAGCCTTTCGTCGTGGGTGGACTTCAGGCATGCCCTTGGCTCTTGCCTCCTGGGATGCCCTGTGACTGCCTGTGTAAGTTGCTATAAAATGCAACACCCCTCTCTCTGTTCTTGCTTTGGCTCCCACTTGGCTTCTGATTTTCCACCATGCTGTGGCTCAACATGAGGCCCCTGACTGTTATAACCACCAGGCCTTGAACATCCAGCCTCCAGAACCGTTCACTTAATAATTTTTTTCCTTTATTAATTACCCAGTCTTGGGTAATTTGTTATAGAAACAGACAGCTGGCTAAGGAAGCCTCCCACTTCCCTTCCCCAATCACGTGGTCCTGCCAAGGCTGCTCAGCCTGGCATTCAAGGCCATGCGTAGCTCCCTGTCTGGCCCAACACCTGTGAGAAGTCTCGGCTTTGATGCTCTTGGCCCCTCCTGGTCCCTCTTGTATACTCAGGATGGCACCTCTCCTGTACCAGGAATCCTCCCTGTCTTGGAGCTTAAGACTTCAGCCACCCTCCAAGCCCAGCTCAGCTGCCCCCTGCTCCCTGAGGCCTTCTCTACCTGTCTCAACCAGGGGTCGTTCTTTCCTCTGAACCTCTGTAGCACATGCATCAATTATGCCCTTAGCAATATTTAGGGCTGGCTGTTTATTTTTTTAAACATTATTTCTGATTTCTTTGCACCATAAATACAAAAAGGCAGGCACTGGATCTAGTGTCTGTACTTGTTTCCTCCTTCAGCTCCATGTAGGACACTTTGATCCACATGATCCTCAATAAATATTTGCTGATGGTGAGTTAAAAAATGGAACTTGGAATGGTAGCTGCTCCTGGTGATGTCATGTGTAAACACAGGTACCTTTCTTTGGGAGCACTTTTCTAAAGGGGGAACTAATAAACCTTAACAAGGCGTGGTCATGGCTTCAGATACTGTGAGCAAATGGATTCCAAACTCCAGGCCCATAAACTCCCTTTTCCTCTTAAATTGTAGTTTTGTTAATAAATCCACAGCTAAATTTCTTGCCATCAAAACAAGTGTCTCAAACAGCAAGGTTCCCGCACAGGTGCAATGACAGTGAAAATACCTGCAGATAAACTCTGTTTCCTCCTCGCATCTCGCCGCACACTCCTCTATGCTCTGTGCTCCTAGGTGCTTCTTGGGGACGCCGGACAGTGAAGCCCCTTGGGTACTGACATAGCCATCCAGGGAGCTTCCTTGACCTACAAGTGGGCGATCAAAGTGGAACAGCTGATCAATGGCTGACCCCACTGCATGATTGCCATGGCTTCTCATCTGTTTGCTTGATAACCGCCAAATAAAACTCTCAGTGTATTCTTGGAAGCCGAAGCCGGTGTCGTGAATAAAAATGCTCAGTCAGGAAAACAGTTCCGGTAACGCTGTAATACATTAACGGAACACCTAGACGGGCCGATCAGAACCACACAACAGACGCTATCACTACCCTGATGGACAAGGAACTTTAAATGAGAATGAATTTTACCTGTTTGCTATTGATTGTCATGTGATGATAAGCCGGGAAGACACCATCAATGGCGACTGCGTTGCCAAAACTAACGTGGGTTTGTCCATCCCTGGGTATAAGTGGAGGCCATTCTTTGATTTATAACAATACATACTTTCCAATAATAAAGGATTTTTTGATGATGATGATGATGATAGCTGACATTTTAAAGGAAATTATCTTAAAAAGCAGAACCTGGAATAATACTGGCCTTAGATGTTCTATGAGATGAAATCTGAGGCAAAGAGGCTGTTGCTCCCCCTCCCCACCTCAGAGCATGGCCAAGGGACCTTCAGTCATGTTCCCACAGGCTGCCTAATGGCCCCTGTTCTAAGGCTGCCTGCTACACCTGGCATGGCTTTGGCAGCTCTGATCTAAGCCTGCAGAACCCAGCTCCCATCCTTTCATATAAATGCTGGTGACTTTCCCAGGGGCGAGGCCAAAAGGAACTTAATGGAATTAAAATAGAAAAGTTTCTGTGTGTGTAGGCAACATGGCAACCTTGGCCACTTGAGGGGAGTGGTGGGACCAGAGCCAGCCTGAGTGGGTTAAAGAGTGGCCAGGATAGGAAGTGGCACTGCAGACGACAATAGGTTAACACAGAGTCACCTTCCAAAGTCCACCCTCTCTCTACCTCCTCAGCTGCTTTTCCTTCGTCAATTTAAGATGCCAAATTGGTAAGATGGACTGCTGAATGGGAAGTTGGTGGATGCATTTTAAACTTTCAGAGCACTTGGTAAATGTGTGAGGTCATGGAGAAATAGATAGTTGGGGCCCATATCCATTTCTTCACCTCACATTTCTCTCAATTTGAGTTCTCATTTTCAAGAAGAGTTGGACTTTGATGAAGTGTTTTGAAAAACACATTAAATCTGTAAAGAATATCCTCCAAAAGTTAAGTTAACTTTTGGGAAGAGTTCTTGGGGAATGTATTTAACAATGATATTTAACAAGGAGAATTTTTCCTTTTGTATCATCCTTTAAGTTAGCGTTAACGGTGTCACCTTGTGATGTTTCACAGCATACAGCTGCTGAGATCCACCTTAGGCACTGATGTGCCAAAGAATCATCTCAAAGGAATCAAATATTTTTACATCGAAAAATTTTTCCCCAAAATCTTTTTTTTCCCTTTCTCTCTTTCTTATTCTCCTTCAGGCTTCACATAACAACGAGGTTTAACACAATTTTTGACAAAGAAACATTAAACAAATCTTGGTAGGAAAAATATTTTTGTACCACAGGCTAAATGCAGATGTGTTTGCTACCAAAGCAACGCATTTTATGACATGAGACCCTTTGTCACTGTGGGGTGTGTGTCTGTGTATGTGCACACACACATTCTTGTGGTGTTTAAAAAATACTTAGCAGTTTATTAAGTGCAAATGTTTATCCACCCCTCACTGACTGCAGCTATAAAAGCAAATGCCATTTTCTCCCAGTCATGGAGGGCACTGGAAAGATGAAAGTCACCACAGAGAATAAGAGCAAATACTTTCCTTTCAAAAAGAGATTGTTAAAGACATTCCCATTCTAGTTGGTTGAGACATTTCAATCCTGATGCAGAGAAATCCATTCTAACCTCTGGGTGTAGCCCCCTGGGTGCACAGTGTCCCCAGCCCTTGCTTCCATGGTCTGAAGTACAATGCTCACACCTGCTCATGTATGCACGCGTGCGCGCGCGTACACACCACACACATTTCTCACAACTATCTTTTTGTTCAATCTTCTTGCTAGTTCTTCAAATGGATCCCACTAAATTCAAATGTGTTTTTCTGTAAAGCACAACCTGTGGTATCTGGTGATTTATAGATTGAATATCAAGTATCTATACATTATTTATTGGAGGAACTACTAGCATAATGTATGATTCCATATACAAAATGTCTAAAACAGCAAATCTGTAATCTATAGAAAGTAGAAGAATGGTTGCCAAGGGCTACAGATTAAGGGCAATAGCTAGGGAGCATGGAATTTCTCTGGGTAACGAAAATATTCTAGACTTTACTGGGCTTATGGTTGAACAACTTTGAATATACTAAAAACCACTGGATTGCATGCCTTAAATGGATGACTTGTATAGCATGAGATTTATATCTGAATAAGCTGTTAAAAAAAAACAAACTACCAGACACGTTTAGAATGTGTGTTTTTTAAAATGTTCTCAGTGCATTTGGAAAAGGGAGCAGAACACTAGTTTCCTTCTTGGAAAGCCCTTGTTTACATCCAGGTTTCTTTACTTTTCTGATTTGGGAGTTTGGACAGTGGTCAAGTAACATGATTTCCTAAGTCTGGATTCCATCATCTAGAAAAGGGGATAAGTATGCTACCCGACCCGTCCTCTAGCTAAATAAGCTCTCATTAGTAAAACACACACACACACACACACACACACATTTGTGTGTATGTATAAAATGTGATTGGCCTACTCCAAACTTTAAATTAATATGATGTATGATAATTACATACATCATTTCAAAAACTGTGCATGAGACTTCTCCAGACATTAAGAGGCCCAACATATACTTATGGAAATCTTTCTTCAAACCAGAACAAATAGATGCTACTTCACACTATGCAGATAGGTCAAATATGAAAATATATACTCAAAAGACAAAAAATAAAATATACTCAAAGAGGAATTTTGTTGCTTACATTTGGAAGTGACAGGAATATATATGACAACTTAACCAAAATGATAAAAGATAATTCAATTGAGAACCAGAAAAGAGATTCACTATTTTTTCAATGAAAATCGACATCATTTGGGCACAGTCATTTAGATTTGAAAAGTTACCCATTACCTTCTTTGCCCATTCATTCCCCACACTCTGACATTCTTTAGAGAGACATTAGATTCATATATTGAAGAATTCCTTGATCCTAGATTTTGAACCGGGAAAAGTCATGAATCAAGTTCAATGAGTTACACATAAAGCCATAGTATACCTATTTTTTTAAATATATTGCTAGGAATATGTAATGACAGAATCGCAAAGAAAATCTTACCTGATTTCAGAAATAAGAGAAGCAGAAGGACTATTTCCTTGCAGTCCATGTTGGGACTGGCCAGCAGTGCCCTGGGGGACAGTGTGTCTTAGTCCTAGGTGCCGTTGGCTTACAAGAGCGCAGAGGCATCCGTGATTGAGATAGTCAAATGAGGTTAATTATTCTCCAAGGCCCTGCCACTGCGCTCCAGGGGGCAAACATCACCTTAAATAATGGCTATTACAAAATGTTTGAGAGAGAAGCCCGCAAGAGATGCTGGAATTCCAGCCACTCTCCCCTCCCAGGTGACTCCTGGTTGCTTCCTTTCTCCTCTCTCCTCCCCTTTCCCCAGACCTCATCTTTCCCTTTCCTTCCCTATTCCCCCCCCCTTTCCTTTGGGGAAGAAAGGGAAATCATAAAAGGAGCTTGCATTTGCGAGTACTTTCCATGAGCCAGACAGTGCACAGAGGTCCCTACCCACGTCTCATCCCACCCTCCCAGCAAGCAGCATCACCAGGGTCCGCAAATCAAGAGGCGGGAACGGAGCTTTCCCAAGTCTGCACACTGGACAGGGGGGAAAGCAGATGCAAACCATTTAGGCCTTAGACTACCGAGGGCAATATCATTAACTCCTTCATGCCCTGCCACCCAGAGTTGAAATCAAGACATAGTGAAACTGTTTTATTAAGTTGGGTGCAATGGTGCATGCTTGTAATCCCAGCGGCTCAGGAGGCTGAGACAGGAGAATCTCAAGTTCAAACCAGCCTCAGCAACGGGAGGCGCTAAGCAACTCAGTGAGACCCTGTCTCTGAATAAAATACAAAATAAGGCTAGGGATGTGGCTCAGTGGTCAAGTGCCCCTGAGTTCAATCCCCAGTACCAAAAAAAAAAAAAAATGCTTTATTAAAATCAAAATGTCTTTATTCCCAGTGGACTCATGTGTTTCCATAAATATAAATTTCTATTGTTATTTTATTTAAATTACACTTACTTTTAAATGGATTCATAAAAATATGAAAGTGTACATATTAATGAAGTAACATGGTATTTCAATACATGCATATATCACGTGACATTTACAAGTTTGGGGATTTTGTTTTTGCACTGCTGGGGATCACAAACCCTTGCAGTGCTAGGCAAGTGCTCCACCACTGAGCTACCTCCCAGCTTGGTGATAATTAAATAGACATTCTTTCCTTCCTTAAACTTTTATCATTTTTTCATAACTATAAATTACATCATAAAATATCAATCTATCCCCCCAAATTACAGTTCAATATCTTCTCATCCTCATAAAATAAAGCAAGAGTGGCGGAATTCTGCTGAAAGAGTCAGCTCAAGTTTAATTGTTGAATCTGTACTTTTCCCTGGCTAAATGTTAGAATGGCCAGCTGGAGCAAGCTTTAAAACTCCAATTTTGGTATTTGAAAATATTTAGAAATAAACTGAACTCTCTAATTTTAACTATGAAAAAAAAAAGACCAACAGCATTGGCTCCTCTTTCCAGGTGATGAAATTCCTCCCCATGTTAACCAGCAGAGGATCAAGGCGGGTGTCCGAGGGTCTGAGTGGAACCTCTGCAGAATGCCTTGGGACCAAAGCACTCGCAGAACACTGAGGAACCAGAGGGAGGCACTCGAGGCTCCCTCCTCCTTCTATTCCCAAGCACCTACTGGCCCAGTTTACCAAAGGGACCAAGATGAAGGCAACTTGAGAAATCGGTAGCAGGCAGACCTTTTTTTATTTCCTTGAAATCATGTGAAATGTCTTTTAGACAACCAGGGTTGGTCTGTTTGAGATAGTTCTTTAGTGAAGGGAAACAGATTCCACCAACATCTAATGCCTCCAGGGTGTGTTTAGTTCCACTTTTATTTGAGCACTTCCTCCTAGAGAAGGCACTGCAGGAATGGTGCTTTCAGAAATTCTGTATCTGCACCATCTTCCCTTCCCTGTTGCCTGAGTCTTTGATTTGAGTGGCATTGGTGTGCCTTTTGCCCCCCTTTCCTTGGGATTTCTAGAATGCACTTGATTCTGAAAATGTTACTTTGCAAACCAGGTGGCCCTCCTGCAGCCCCTGACTCTTCATTCTTCTCCACCGCCTGACATTTCAACATCATGAAAGTGCACATGGTCATCACAGCACTCCCCAGTTCAGTAGCATGTAAAGAGAAGAGCAAAGGAGGTTGTAGGTTTGGTTCACGGTGCTGGGGATGGACCCTGGGGCCTCATGCATGTTGGCAAGCCCTCTACCACTGGGTTACATCCCAAACTTTTATTTAAAATTTTATTTTGAAACAGGGTCTCATTAAGTTGCCCAGGCTGGCCTCTAACTTTCCAGCCATCTCCTCCACCTCCCCAGTAGCTAGGATGATAGGCTTGTGCCACCAGAGCCTGCAGGAGGATGGATTGCTCAGCTATCACCTAGGGTGGGTGTGCGAGCCTTCCACCTAGTGTTGCCCCACCTGATTTAGTGTCATAGACCCAGGAAGGCATAATGCAATGGAATATTCTACTTTATTCCTGAGAATCCCTCTTTGTACTCTTAGAGGGATTTTGCCCATGGCTCTAAGGATAACTGATTCAAAAGAAACCATTTCCTTACTGAAAGACTAGCAGAAACTAAGGGAGAAAGACATATCTGCATGGCTACTATTAGGTTACATAAATACTGAGATTTGTGTGTGCTGAGTTCAGTCCGAGGTGGACCCCAGACCTCCTACTGTCTCCAGGGTGGTGTTAGAATCTGTTACGATTATAAGAAGGGCAAGCCCCAGTCCCTGCCCTTCCCCACTCTCTACCCTAAAGGAGCCTGCACCTAGGCTTTGTGGAGATTCTGCTGCTGGACTTGTAGCCAGACAAGGCCATTCAAATAAGATGGGAGAAGAACCGGTCTCCTTGGATCTGCCCAGCCTGAGGCCTGCAACCAAGACTGAGCGGGTTTTCTTGGAAGGAAAGAACCAGCTGGTCTCTCCCAGAACCACCGTGGGAAATTCCCCACATGAAGAGTCATAGCACATGAAGGGTCAACTTCCCCTGGAGAATTTACCCTTCGGTCTCCCCTGAGGTGGAAGCTGCAGCCTGGTCCTGACACCCCAGGTGACATGGCCTCGTGCAGGTGCACTTGGGTTGCTGGAGGCATGCACCTGTCAGCTCCTTTCCACGTGCCCTTGCCACCTGCCTCCAGCTCCAGGATCTGCCCTCTGGGGACTGTCATTCTAGGGCAGCTGCTTTTCTCACTGGGAGCATCTCTGAGGAGTCCCAATAAGACCAATAATACGTGTCATTTCAAAATGAAAACAGCAAAGAATTAACTAATCTATTAAGAACTCATGCAAAGCATCCCTTTTTGGTAAGGGTTCTTGGCAAGGTCATCTCTGCCCTTGATGCCAACTTGTAGGTTGTTTTTACAGTGTTATTGTATTGGGCAGATCACCTAAGAAATGTGTGCAAATTAATTTGGAAGTGGCCATTATTCTTTATCTGCCCTTTATCTCATGTTTGTTAGCCTTGGTTCACCAGCTTCTGGGACCATGCAACAAGATGCTTATCGGCTCTCACCTCAGGAAAGGAGATTGCAGGATGCCCAGTTAGCACAGTGGTTAAAATGTAACCACAGGAGGATCCTTTCTGAGCCAGCCTTCGATGTTCAGTAAGGGGACATTTTCTTAATTGAGTTGTGCTTGACGACGATTAGATGCCCATCTTGGAAATAAGCTAGCTTCCCTGGCCATGTCCATCAGACTTGTCCCGCTTCAGAACAACATCAGCAGAGAAGAGAGAACCTTCTCTAGTTGGCTTAGTAGCCCTGGCTTAGTCAGAGAACAGCAGGGTCCTTCCGGCTGCAAGGTCCAGAATCACCGTGGAAAAGACAGAAGCAAGTCCCTTCCCACCACTCCCATCCATTGTCCTCCAAGCTCACGAAAACAAAGCAAAATTATTGCAAGTATTTGGAGGAGAAACAACAAGTAGAAATCATTAAAATCTTTCAAGAAAAACAAAGGAGTCAGGCACAGTGGTGCACACCTGTACTCCCAGCAGCTCAGGAGGCTGAGGCAGGAGGATCATGTTCAAAGCCAGCCTCAACAACAGTGAGGCACTGAAGAACTCAGTGAGACCCTGTCTCTAAATAAAATACAAAATGGGCTGGGGATGTGGCTCAGCGGTTGAATGTCCCTGTGTTCAATCCCTAGTACCAAAAACAAAGGAGTGTGTATAAAAGCTGGTGAGGTCTGAGGAAGGTCTGTGGGGAGTTCACCATATGGAACAATGGCCATTTCCTGGTTGGATGATGACATGGTCCTGAGAGGTACTCCCTCTGGGGGAGGCAGTACAATGGGTGCAGGGAGCTCTCGGCACTATGCTTGAGACTTCTTGTGTATTTATTATTCATTCAAAATAAAAAGCAGTTATGTGTGTCTATATGTGTCGATATTTGTGTACATGAGTATATTAATGCATATATTTGACATATATTTGCCTGTACTGTGTACATTTTAAGAGGACTTAGGGGAAGCTGATGCTCCTATAACATTAAAGAGAACAGACACGCAGCCTGGGAGACTCTACTGTTACAGAGTTTCTAACTTGAGATGTAGAGACAGCCCTTGGCTGGCTCCTGTGAGCTCAGGGGCTCGGGAGTGGGAGAGGAGAGGGCTCTCCACCACCTTGCCCCTCCCTGGTGAAGACCAGACTTTGAGTAAGGACCGATTGGTGCCACCCGGGAGGCAGCATCTCCACCCCTATCTGCTGCGTGTGCATCCAGAATCCAGCAGCTGGGAAAGCCCCAGCCGGCTCCCGCTCCCCTGGGGTACTCAGGGCATCCACCGCCTCTGCAGACAGGCAGAACACCTAGGAGCCAAAGGCACCCAGGACCCCACTGAACCCCAAGTGATGACTCCTTCTCCCTTTTCTCACCCTGCACCACCAGCTCACAGACCCCACAATTCACGGCCGACGGACTTGGATCACAGAGTGCAGCTGGGGTGGGGGAGTTCAGTGACAATGAGCGTCTCTGTCAGCCCTTGCCCTTCACTGGGTGCTTCTCAGCCTGGGCAGTGTTTGGCTGGGCTG